GTTTTTCTATGCTGCTATTATTTTTGATGGTGCTGCTGCTGGTGTTGCTGCTGGTGTTGCTGCTGGTGTTGCTGCTGGTGTTGCTGCTGGTGTTGCTGCTGGTGTTGCTGCTGCTGCTGCAAATATGGTATTCCGTAGTCTATATCCGGTGATTGCGTATTGTCTGGTCTATCTGTGGTGGTGATAAGCGGTAAGTAACTTCTTTGGCCTTTGCCTGCTCTCTGCTGATGACGTTCATTCTTTAGTTTCTCTATGGTGCTGATGTTGCTGCTGCTGCTGCTGCTGCTGCTGCTGCTAATATGGTCTCTTCTGGTCTACTGTATGTGGTGTATGCTCGCTCTCTGGTCTATCTCTGGTGATTGCTTATATTTCTCTGGTCTATCCGTGGCTGTGGTAAGTGGTAAGTATCCTTTTTTCTTGTGGTCGCAATGATATAATGCTTCTCTGGACGTTTGTATTACTGCTTCCTTTCTCGTGATAATGTAATCATAATGTTTGCTTTGTTGCGCTTTTTTTCCTTTCCTTTGTTGGCTGTGACATGATCAGCTCAACGAATAACTGTAATGTTGTTGCTTCGTATATATGAACAACAAGCATCATGCACTGTTATATTCTTGTATTACCGCTGTAATACTTTGTTATATGGCCGTGGGTTGTTGTTTGTGTTGCCTCTGTTGCTTCATATGTAACAATATTAGTTGTTATGTTGTATTACACACTCATACTACTACTGTTGCTCCTGCAATTGTACATTTTTGTGTTGCTCAGATTATTATCATACATGTTGCTCATGTATGTATTTCTGTTGCAACAACAATGGGCTGTTGTGAACATCTTTGATTTTGTATTTGTTATGTTTTTCTTTGACTCATTGCGTGTGAGTATCCTTCTTTTTTCTTTGCTTACATATACTATTATACTTCTATAGTACTGTAGCATGATGTTATTTCCTTCCTTTCTTCTTTTAATATGTTTCTTTGAAGCATACCTTTTTTTACGTTGTGTGGATGTGCCTATCCCTGAAGCTCAACAAGACTCTATCCGAGGCTAGGAGGTGGATAGGCTGCCTCCACTTGGTTATCGCTACTTACTTTAGTGATGATTGAGGGTCTCAACGCCAGAATCTAATGCTAGGTGGTGTAAGTAAGACATGCTCTAGCACCTGAGGGAAATTTGATGATAGTAACGGCTATATTGCTATATATAGCGGAGCTTAAAATTTTGCCTCACATCAAAACAGAGGGAAACCCTCGCAAATTTTTTTTTAGGTTAGCGGAGTTTTCAAGCAATCTGATTGGCTAAGAGGTTGAAGCAACGAAGGTCTACAACTAGTTGATTTTCTGGTGATCTGTCATTTAACATTATTTTGTCTTTTGTAATAATAAAAGCGATAATCAAGTGGAAACACTTTAAATCCTTCTTTGTTCAAGAGTAATATAAGGTACGATCGTTGAATTTATCATTTATTAAATAGTTTTATGTGAGCAATGTTTATCTTCTAGGTAAACGGCAGTACATTGGGTGGCATATCCTACCACTATCACTAAACGCTCCCCTGTCAAGCATGCGTCGTTGTTTATCATTGATCTGCTATATGTTTCAGTTTCATGGTTTGCTATCTCTCGCCCCATATCAAAATATCCGAATGTACAAAAGTATTTTCGGTTTAGGGGTGGTTTGGGCCTTCGAAAACCAAGCTTTAAAATATCGATACTAGAGCTCTGAAAGTAGCACGTTCCTAACGCAGAGTTTTATTATGAGGAAAATGATAGTGTAGTTGCATTTTAGACTGGATGGTAGGTCGCTTATCAAATATAGATGATTCTCAAAATAAGATAATCTTGAAGCAAAGACCAATTATTATTGATCTATCAAAGTGAGGAATCGTAGCATTTTCTAGTTTATTTCAACAGCTTCTTTCAAATAGTATTATTTCATCAAGTATAAAATGCGGTTTAACAATCTAGAGAGTATATTTTGTATGTCACCATCGTATTTACTCCCATTATATGCCGTTATCTCTTCATCTTTCATAATTATCCATTCACATGTTTCTTCTTTATACTATTTATGATTTATAATACTTAACTACTTTACTCATATCATCTATCACTGTTTGATAGGCATATTATGAAAAAAATTTCAGTTGCTATGTACGTCGTCAAATGATTAAGCGAGTAAGGTGTAACAAAACCAATAAAATATATAAAAACCAGTTTTGATACTACTTTCTGTACAACTGCCAGCTCAACCCGGCTTTTCTACTAACTAAATTTTGCTTCCCTGTACTTGCTTTACAAAATAAGGCCACGATTGAGTATCTTCGATAATCCTTTTTAAAAGTAGTGGGTTTTCTAGCACCCAAATTAGAGTTCACACTGGCAAAAATACGTTTTTATATATAACAGCACAGGAGGGGTCCATATGGTGCTCAAGTCTAAAAAATAAATTTTGGGGCTTGAATAGACTCATGTTGGCGCACAAGAAGAACTCTAATGCACCACTGTAACAGGCGTTAGCAGCGTTGAAGTTTCATTTTTAGCCAGCTTGACTGGGATGGCCTTTTCGGAAGTGCAACTCCATGAGAGCGGATGCTACAACCAAAAGTACGGCCTCAAACAATAGTTATTTCTTGGGACTACACAATGAATACTGCTACAGGCAGAGTGGCTCCAGTCTAGTACGTGTTGACCTTTGAAACCCTTAAAATATCTGAGAAACTGACTTGTCTGAATACAAGTTGCAGGATTGCGTACAGATGTGGTGCCATTGGATACGTATTTCAATTCTGCATAAGTTTGCTATGAACTAGAAACAGCGGTTACTATTGAAGACGTTGTATTAAAGCGATCAAAGGGTGCAAGTATGTATCCTATTGGTGTCAAGCCAATAGCAGTTTGATATTGATAGCTTCGTTTAACGTGTGGCCATTATCGAGCTCGCAGTATGCCATAACCTCCTTAATACGTTGCGGATTTCAAGTTGTTTGATGAATATTTGACATGTTGGTGGGTCGTGCTTTCAAGACTAAAAACTGCAAATTGCTCCATTGTATTCCATCAAGCCTTCTAGTTTAAGGTATACATATTCTTCCTTTTTAAATGAGGCCATCTGTATTCACAAATGAGTAACTTGGAGAAATCAAACACCTGGAAAATTAAGTGTAACTCTTTGTTATAGCGTCATGGATATTTCTTTCTAGCAAAGCTTGTAAGGACTTGTGAATTAATAGGGATGCTGCGCTTGGATAAAGTAGAAGATGGCAGCAAGATCGCTCGGCGAGACGAACGCACTCTTTTGACGTTCATGTTGTGCTCGTCAACTCCCTTCTCAATCAACTGTGCGATGGAAGAGACACGAGAAGAAACTATAAAATCTTGCTGACAAGTTCTTGAGAGAGGCTGGTTGGTAAATGGAAATAACACTACTTTTAAAGGATTCTATCACAAATGACTTTTCAGGGTAATGAGGTTTACCTTTGACGGTAAATAGATAGCAGAAAGTGCCAACGAACAATTGTAAACCCTTTCGAGGCAAATGCTATAAATTCAAAGCATACTTGTCTCGTTCTTTCAGTCCAATGCAGAAGGAAGGGTCCAGCTTTTATATCATCGATTAACTTTAGATTGAGTCGAGCTACGAAATGACAGACGAGCTTTTGAAAAAGCTCTTTCTAACATCACTACATTGATCGGGTATCTTGATACATATTAGCATAGAAATCACGTCTACCAAAAAGAGCCATTCTATTTGGCCATTAAACTTTTGGATTCTTGACATCTCCAATGCAGTCAAACTCTGCTATGCACTTGGCCAGCTTCTTGGCCCAATGTATAAAGAGCTACGAGTCAAGATATTTTTGTAGCATAATCAATGACATAATATGTCTGCAGATACAAAACTAGAGTATGCTCTCTATCCAAGACGGAAGTCATTAAAAGATCATAACCATGTGCTGCAGTGTTTTCTTTGATAATATCGAATTGTTTCGTAACTCAAAAGAGTGGGCCAGGCATTCTGCTACAAAAAGTTGCCACATAGATGCATTTGCGCTTCATATATGGTGCATTACTGGAAGCCAATGCCTTTGATTTGCAACAAACTAACGATTATTACTCTTATGATAATAGCCTTAAATAAACACCATGGTTTTCATTCGATTCTTGTGTGTGGGTGTTTAATGGATTAGTTTCCCACAGGCATTGATACAATAAAACTAATCCCAATTGACAGGATTATTAGGGATCATGGGAAACTGTCTCCAGTTGGGCAGACTATGTGAAAAATACCTATAAAGCGTTATGGAATGGTAGCTATATAACATACGTAGCATTTGTGTTGTGTGACAAGGCGGACTACAATGGGAATACATTTGTATGGATCACATCGACAATGCACACATCGCCGCTTTCAATGATTATAGTAATGAACCAGGTAAATCCTTTGGTAGCACCTGATATCATTGGTAAGGAACATGTAAAAAAAAAAAACTGTAGCATATGCCAATGTGTAATGTGAAAAGTGCATCGTATTGACAGCCAGATTATATAGATTCAGCATCAGTTCCTGTATAGCTTATCATACTCTCTATCTCACACTATGATCGATAGCTGATAGCGATAGAGTTCATCAACTCCATGTGTGAAAAACTTGAAGTGGTACAAGTATTATATTTCATTTCAATAGGTATGCCATTGACACCACACTATACACATTTAAGTCTTTAGTACCACTTGGATGAGTAATAGAGTTTTTTCATTTGGATTTATATGGACATTTAAGCTTTCTTATCATTCATGCAATATGAATGCGAGCCGATCATTTCTTGTCGTCTTTTGTGTATAAAGAAGAAAAAAACTACATTACACTTACACTAATGCATCGTACAATACTGCTGTACAAAATGCAATGTGTAACAAACATTTTGATATAAATACACTGCAATCAGGGTCTCTTTTTTTTTTCTATACATCTCTTTCTTTCCCCTCTGATCCAAAAGTATGAGAAAATCAATCGTTCTATCCACATTGCTGGCATTTGGCTGCTACTTGACTGAAGCCAAATCTTACAATACCAAGGTCGTCATCTTGGGTGGTGGTGTCAGTGGAATCAGCGCTGCTTTGAATTTGACAGCTAGTGGTATAGACGATATCATGATGGTGGAAGCCAGAGATACATTAGGTGGTAAGTTGCGTATATATATATCGTACACATTTCTTTCTTTTATCTTGTATGCTAAAACCCCTTCCTCTCCTACCTTCTTTCCCCTGCAGGCAGAGCGCAGGATGTTCCGTTTGCAGACGTAAATGTTGAATTGGGCTGTAATTGGGTTCAAGGTTTAGGTACCAACCCCATCAACCAATTGGCACTCAAGTACAAGCTTCGCACTGCTGTTACTGATGGAGATGATGTTGTATTTTACAGCGAAAAGGGCAAGATCAATGCCACTGAGAGATACAATGACATGAACAATTATTACGAAATCATGACTGAAGATACAAGTATGCCAGCAGTATACATATCTTGCAAATGTTTGTTATTCTAAAGATTCTCTCCATAGTTAAAAGAGTCAAGAAGGATCAAGTCGATCTTGCTGGTAATGTTGGTCTTGATATTGCTGGTTGGTACGCCAAAGATGCCATTGATGAAGCTATTGAATACTACGTCTGGGATTGGGAAATGGGAGAATCTCCTGAACTCTCTTCTACCATCTTCACCGTTGTTAATGACCAATGGACTTATGGCGAGACAAGTTTTGGCCCTGGTAGTGATGGCGACAATTTCGTGATTGACCCTCGGTAAGTAATACTACAGATGGTTTCCTTTTTCAACACATGGCCGAACAACGCGTACTGATATGCATACGATATAGCGGTTTCAAGTACATTTTCCAAGAGGAGGCCAAGAAGGTCTTTAAGCCCAACGACAAGCGTTTGTTGCTCGATACTACTGTCACCAAGATTGAATACAACGACAAAGGTGTTACTGTTCATACCAAGAATGGAGACACGATTCATGCTGAATATGCCATCACTACTTTCAGTATCGGTGTGCTGCAACACAAGGACATTGAATGGAGCCCCAAGTTACCCGCATGGAAACTGGAAGGCATCTACGGGTTCCACATGGCTACCTATACCAAGATCTTCATGAACTTCCCTACTCAATTCTGGGATAACAATCAATTCACTGTATGGGCTGATCCTGATCAACGTGGTTACTACAATTCCTGGCAAAACTTGAACGCTGAAGGGTTCTTGCCCAAGAACTCTTCCAGCAACATCTTCTTTGTCACAACAACCCAAGATTTGTCTTACCGTATCGAGGCCATGACGGACGAAGAAGTCAAGGATGAAATCATGGTTGTCTTGCGTCGCATGTATGGTGATGATATTCCTGAGCCTACTGATTTCAAGTTCCCTCGCTGGCATAGCAACCCATTGTTCCGTGGTAGCTATAGCAACTGGCCCATTGGTGAGATGGATGAGCACCATGTCAACATGAAGGCTCCCCTGAATAACAGAGTGTTCTTTGCTGGCGAAGCCACTTCTACAGAGTATTATGGATTTTTGCAAGGTAATTTCATGTATTCCAACCACAAATGATTTATACTCATACGTTATCTTTGTATAGGTGCTTGGTTCAGTGGTGCTGAAGCCGGCTTAAAGGTCTCTAAATGCGTCAAGGGCAAGTGTCCTCGATCTGAGTATTACCCTGAGATTACCAATGCCAAACTTCATGCCAGCGCCATCCGTAACACACTCTCCAAAAAATAGATGATATTAAATAATTTATTATTATAAACAAACCCACAAAGTGAATGACAAAAAAGAAATATAACGGCAGAGCAATTCCTATTTTATTTTCTCGTTGATTCAAATACACCATAATGAAATTTTCAAGCAACATTTGACTACACATACACACTCGCACACCGATGACACATGCAACTTAGTCGACATCCATTAAATCTCGAGGACGCTCGCGGTTGTTGTCTGAATTGTTTTCTGTTTCTACTTCAGTAGAACTGCCTGAAGCAAGGCTGCGAACTGAACGAGAATTCCTTCGCTGGGCATGATGGTAATTGAACAAGAGGTCTCCATCACGTGGAGCACGACTAGCTATAGTAGGTGTGGTATGATGATTTTCATTGGTAGTAACTGGAAGCGAGGAACGTCTAAGTTGAGTTGTTTGAGTGGTATTAGTTTCTTGTCCATTGTTGTGTTCACCAATGGGTATGGCCAGGACATCTGAGGTAACATTGTCTTCCAAATGAACGACTTGTTCAGCAGGTGGAGGTGGAGGCGGAGCAGCAGCAACGACTGCAGCTGCAGCGGCTTGTGTTATTGAGGATGTTGCTGTTGGATTGGGTGGCGGGTGGCTGTTGTGAGGTCTTTCAACGCACCACCAGCGATGGCCATCAGCCCATGCTTTTGACTGACATGATTTCGAGCAATATTTGGCTTTTCGACTAGAGAAATGATTCAGTACTCTGTTGCATCATGGGTTTCCATATAGCCTACACTTACCAGCGACGGCATTTGGCAAACTCGCGTGGGAATCGCTCCCATTTACCACACTGCATGTTTGCACATTGTCGAACACCTCCTCTGGCTTCGTCTTTTCTACAAGCATTTCTCATAATGACACCAGCCCAATAGATGATGGCAGCGGGATGGAGGCGATGGGTGAATTTTTCAACGACAGAAAATACATTGAGGCGATGATTAGAGTGGAAGGCTTGTCGAATTAAAGGGTATTTGGATAGATAAGCGAGCAACTGCAGAGAAAGTAGAATGTCTTCTTCACGATGCAGTATTGCATCTGTTGAGAGATTGTTTAAGAGAGGGATGCTTGATAGGGATGCGGTATAGGGCCTTGGTTTTGGTTTTCCAGTGCGAGTCATGAAGGTGTTTCTTTTTGGGATAACGAACAGCATGTTCAAACTGGTGTTGTTGGGAATTCTATTATTATCAACATGATAGTTCATAGGAAATTCCTTTTCAACCAGATTGGTAGAAGAAGAAGATGTCGGCATCGTCGGTAAAGACAAAGCTGTTTGATGTTGCTGGTGAAAATGATGATTTGTTTGTTGTTGTTGTTGCTGCTGCTGCTGCTGTTGTTGTTGTTGTTGTTGTTGTTGTTGTTGTTGTTTTCTTTCTTGGTCTTTTTCAATCTTTGCTTGATCCAGTGCATTCATGAAATTTTCAAGGATAGCCAAAACAACATGTACAGCACCTGCTTCTACTACACGGGACCTGATGGCTTCAGTACCACGTACACCCACGTTGACTACACATTGAAAAGCCAATGACCATTTCCACAAGGAATGTTTGTCTGTGTGTTGGCAAGTAGCCAGGATCTTAACCAATCTCTCTAGCCCACCATCTGCAGCCAGGATTTCACGAATACGTGGTGATGTTGAGGTCATGTAGGCAAGATGAGTAAGTGAATTCACCAGAGGCAGAGTTGCTGTACAATCAAGAGCTCGACGATCATATAAGGTTGATGTGATAACAACAGCTGCTCTATTTTGTGCTGGAGAGCTAAAATTTGGTTCACGCATTATGTCTTTTTTGTTGTATATAATCTAATTGCTAGTTTGTGTGTATAAATCTGCTTCTTTCTTGTTTAAGGATATAATAAAGAAAAAGAGAGAAAAGAGAGAAAAAGGGAAGAAAAAGAAAAAGAAGGAAAAAAAAAAATATTATTATTATTAATAAAAATTTATTGATATTCGTGTGGTGTTTGGTGTGATGTCTTTCCTGTACATGTTGCCTGATTAACTTGCAAGACTACAGGTTTTTGTTTTTTTTTTATTAGCAAAAGTGGCTCTTCTCCCTTTTTTAATAATATATTCTTTATGGCATCCTTTGTCTCCTTTTTTCTTATGCTTCTTGGCTTTATTATGGTTACCTTTCTTGTATCCAAGATACAAAATCTGTAATGATCCGGAATTTCAATTCAAGAACGTCATTCAGTCGTCTGTTACCAATGATTTGATTCCTTTTTAGCTTGAATGACCAGTAAAATGTTTAAAAGTAAAGATGATTAAGGAATCTGTTTCATTGTAAAAAAGTTTGTATTAGCAAATAGCCATCATTAAAGTGCAAGAGTAATGGTGGATTGATAGAAAGACATCTCTCTGATATACCATGCTATTCAACTGTGCTAAAGGACATGTATACACAATACAAACACTATCATCATGTGTTCTCGAAACTTACAATTGCATTTACACAGCTGCTATCCGTTGCCATGGCATGCAAAGATCAATGAGCATCGTAGCGTCAGATCACACAAAACAAAACTCCGCACATACCTGCATTGGCAAAGATCTATCATCGCAATCAAACAGAAAACGCATAACCAAGAACATGAGTTGACGAGAAAGATTGCAATCTTACAGGCTACATGTCAGAGAAGTAGGCTATATGGTAAGTAAGACTGGTATAAGCTCAGAAACGAAAAAGAGTATGTATTTGATCAATGAGTAATGTGTATGTAAAATGCAAAGATCAACATCATTCGTCTTCTATTATCTCCTCTTTGTCTCCATATCTGCCTCCCTTGTTTTCGTTAATCTTCCATATCTCCCGGCTCATGCAAACTATTTCTTTTGAGCAATACGCACTCTCCGCCATTCTCCAGATCAATATTGTACTGGTAAAAGTATCCTTCAGCAGTGATCACCAGCACTTGTGGCGTTGTGCTGTGATAGAGCAGATTATTAACAAGGTACATTGCTGTATGGATCTATGCTATATACCTGCTCAAAGCAACCAAGCTACGAACGCCAACATTAGGTAATTTCAGTGAAGCAAAATGACGAGATGGCTCCCACATGTCAGTCAATCTGTCTGGTAAAAACGATCCCATACTACGTCCTATATGCTGCAAAGAAGATCGTCTCTGCCTAATGAAAGCATCAACATGTGCCAACTAGCAGATCAAATGCAACTTACATAGAAATGGATGATGGCTCATTCTTGTCAAATGAACTATTGTCGGACGCATTGCTATTCGATGACAATTTAAAGATATGGACCGTCTCAGTATCGCTTGACACACACAGCAATGTACTGACTAGGTTAAAAGACATGGAGTAGATCTTGGCCGAGTAAGAACCTCTTCGGAACTGATACACCTTGTCTGCACTGGGAATTGCAAAGACACGAATGACTGTACCCTATGCGTGCGCGTCAGCATAACAGAAGCGCACTGCCGAGTCTTATCCCTACCTTCTCGCTTGCAGTCGCTAATAAGGTGCCTTCAGAATTCATAGAAATGCAGCTGATGGTAGATTTATGCGCCTGTACGATATTGGCCAGCTTCATTGCATTGGCATCGTAGATCTCAATGTCCCCAATACCGTTGTAAGTTGAAAATGAGTTGGATGACGATGACGACGAGGATGTTGTGTAATAATCAGAGGCTCGTAGTGGCTGACAAGCCAAATAGCAATTTTCGCTGGAAGGTGATAATGCGCAGATGGCTAAATTAACGATGAGTGTACTTGATTTCCTTTTAAAACACTTTACAACTACCTTCGGGATTTGGGATCGTATCAATTGTATGTAACAGTTTCATATTGCTGATGTCGTATACGAATATTTGGCTCTCCAATATAACAATGAGTCGCTTTCTATTCATTTTGACAGATAAGATAGGGCTATGGAAAGACAGCTCACAAATAGTGCTCTCCCGTTTCGTGTTATTGATGCGCAGATATCTTGAGGGAGATTCATGGCTGGATCCGACCAGAGCAACGAGAGATGTGCAGAACAGCATTTCAACATGGCCTATATCGCTGTCCACTGGTTTGTGTATATACAAATGAACGACATAAATTAGACGCGCTTTGTCACAAAAGAACATACTAACCTTTCGAATAACATTTGTTGAAGGGATCACAGTTATAGATACGGTAGCCAGATTTTGTACCAACAGATATGCAGCTGAAATCTTGATTAAAGTTGACGCTGGTGATTTGTTTTGCTTCGTGTTCCTCCCTCAATAACTGTTCTTGATCGCTTATAGTCATTGCAATGTGATGTGAAAAGAAAAGAGGAAAGATATAAAGTTGATTTATTTGTGTGAATCTAGAAATAAAAAGGAGATATACATATAATGCTGTGTAACTATATGAACTACATGTATGTTTGGCTGTCGCTTGCCTCATAAATCAACGAAAAAAAAAGGCCATAGGCAGGTACACAGTGTATTTGTATTGTCTTTAACTACTCAAATATACACTAAACACCGTGAGATTTAGATGTATTTACCCAGTTATTTCTCGTGTTAGAAGTTGTTTTAGGTCGCTATAATTGCACACTTGCTTCCTGACATCTTTACTCAACTTTTTGGGGACCAAAAAAAAAATGGCCAAAAATCGACCAAAAAGCATGAGGTACCCCTCATGGTTTTCATCGAAAATCAAACAATCGCGTTTTTGACCTTGGAAATGAAGGCTTTTACTATGGTATATTTTGAATCAAAATGATGTTATTGATCTAACGTAACCCCTGAAATCATCTTTGTGGGATTTTAATATGTAAAATCTCGATTTTTTTTTTGGCCAGAAACCTCTTTTCGTATCTTTATAAATTGCTCGATAAGTTCATTCAAAACATATATCTTACTTGGTACCATTGGATACGCCTTGAAAAGCACCCTAGGAAAGCTTAAAGAAGCGTAAGACGATCGTCATAGTTTATATAATCGAATCTGGCAAAATAGTTCAATCAAGTCGAAGAAATACCATAATCTGGCCAATCTAGAGCAGACTATGAATCTGGGTGTGAATTAATTTTGGCGGCCGGTGCTGCCGGTTGGCAAACTCAATATCCTTTCATTTTGAAGTTCAATTCCCATTATGTCAACATTTGCTATTAATAGTAAAAGGTAATGATTTGCTACTATGAAAAGAAGCAATCAGTTTGTGTAAAGAACGGGTATCCGAATAAAAAAAAACGTATAAATACATCTAGACGATTTGTGTTCCTGAACTGAGTATTAAATTTTGATGGCAGCTCAGGTACACAAACGTCAATGTTCAGATACAGAGCTGGTTTAAGATCCATTCAACACACTGAGGGAAAAAAAAGCACAATTTTGATACAACAAGACAGAGACATTTTTTGAGCATTGTCGCTTTAATAATCTTTGTCCTCATTACGGTTGAAGGTGCACGGATAGCATTGATTGAGCACGACTATAAAAGGCGAATCAGCAGTTGATGCTGAATAAGAATAATGCAAACATATCAGATTTTCTTGCTATATTGTAATTCAATAATAATAATCAGCTCGTAACCTTGAATCCTTTGCATCTGACGTATACAAATCAAAAGTCAAATGCATCATGTATTGATGATGACAATATTAATGTATGATAATAAAGCGGTAGCCAAGCTAGCTAAAGTAATGTGATGAGATGGCTTTTAAATATTAAAATAGCTTTTATTGTCATTGTCATGGAGAAACAAATGAAAAAGGAAGAAAAAATAACAAAAATGATACGTATTTAATGTCATAACTTACGCTAAAATACACGTAACTGTCAGAATTGGGATGAATGATACGGCTTCTTCTTCTGGTATATGCTCTGTTGATTGAGAAGAAGCACAATTGAGAAGCAACATGTTCCAAAAAAAAAAAAGATGAAAGAAATCTCGGGCCGCGTCCTCCACATCACTATTCTTACTGTTGTCCTTGTAGAAATGGAAAATTCACGTGGCATATGCAGTGTAATCCAAGTTCATAGTACCTTTCTTTCCGAAATGTTCTATACTATTCATCAATGTATGTATCATTTTGATACTATTTCATACACTTTGGCTTGTTACGTATTAAATAAACAGATCTAAAAGCGCTCAACTGTTGCTCACTAAGAAAAAAAAAAAAAACAAGGCCAAGATTCTCGGAGGATCAGGAAGGTATCCTTCCGATATATATTGCTTGGTGTAACAGACTTGGTTCGATTACGCAAATAATAATAATACATAAATTCCTCTACGGGTCAAGATTAGCTTGTATCATTTCGTCATTTTTTGATAAACTACCTAGACATCAATACCGTTATAAAAAAAAAGGAGAGACATTTTATATCACTGAAAGCATGTACAATAAACATTGAGCGACAACAGATATCATGGCAAAATGTGCAGCAAAACTTGTTGCTGCACTGAGTCACCTCAACCTTAAATTGCTCTTGTTGTTTGATATTTTGTAGCATTTTATTTTCACTCGGAGCACTAAGCATCTTGTGCTAGCGTTGCTCGTACAAGAATAGGGTATAGGTTGTGAGTGAGAAAAATTGACAGTTACAAGGGCCTGATTTGTATACATCGAAAATCTCCTTCTGTCACTCTTTGCTTTTGGCTCCATCAAACGATAAGAGAACAAAGAAATTGACCGTCCTTGTTCCTTTTTTTTTATAGGGCAAAATGCCACTTTTTTCCTTTCCCTTCTTTTTCTCCTCTTCCTTTGTCCATCATTTCAGCATTTTATCCTTCAAATTATGCAACAACTTGACATCAGTCTAGACAGTATTGGATACATCTACTCTCGGCAATTGAACGATTACAGCAGCAATCATCAACAGAAGTTGCCATTGCATTTTGAGTCTGTGGTATGCTAGCTACATGTTTGTAATATGTGGTCATTGAATAACATCTCGAGAAACAGTGCCACTACTACGATATTTTAGTTCACGACCCAAGAACAGACAGCAGTACAGGTACCTGAATATATTCCATGCATTTAAAAACAAACAAATAAACATCAAAATAGACAAGCAATCAAAACTCTATCAGCAATTCAACAAAATCATCACTTCGCCATCGACGATACATCATCATATCACACCACCCATTCCACGCAAAAGAGAGTTCGTCAAGGTAAAGTGTCATTGGGATGCTGTAATTTTGTTGCAACTAAAGGCCCTCCATCCGATATGTAGAACAACGAAAGAAGACAATACCTCTTGGATGAGTTCATCACAACCGAGGCCAACTACCTCTCCAGCTTAAAAACATTTGTTTCCGTAAGTTCACCTCATACAGGACCCATGATCACTAACCTTAATTTCGCCCGTATAGTTGATAGTTGAGCCACTGCGACAAAGATCTAAAGATAGACAAACAGCTATCATTGGGCAGTACGAGTGTGCAAACATCTTTATGAACATTGACGAAATCGTGCAAGTAACAGAAAACTTTTACAACGACCTCATCCAGTTCAGTGCCAATCCTGCTGCTACCCAGCAGCGGAATTTGGGCGATTTGTGTCTCTATCATGTAATATAATGCATAGCAATCAATGCCATACATGGTGTATTAACGTGCTATGAAACATTAGATGCGCCAATTTACTTGCTACAACAAGTTTTTGCTGGGGGTTCATAATGCGCAGATCATCAATGAAAAGCAGATGAAGGCTCCCAGCTACTTTCATTTTATAGAGAAAGTGATTGAAGGGCAAAAGAGCGGAAATCAAACTGTATATGATTATTTGGCATTGCCTAGCCAAAGAGTGGGACGCTATACCATGTATTTCAAAGGTAAACAGTGCATGTGTCCTCGAGATCATTGTCAGATACTAATACTGTAAGGAAACAGAGCTGATGAAGCACACGACTGACGACCATCCGGATTTACCGGGATTGCATGGCTCCCTCTTGAAGGCAGAGGAAATAGCCAACATGACCGAAGAGATCCATACGCAACTCATGAAGATATTTCGTCGCTTGCTGCAAGCTATTCAGTATTGCCCAGTAAGGACCATTACTGCTACCAGCTGATCACACGCTAAAATATTCCATAGGAATCTCTGCTCAGCTTTCAACGTCGCCTAGTTGGGTATTTGGACACGATCGAACTGGATCCAGTGACGTTAAAACCTATGCAGCCAGTAACGCTCTTTTTGTTTTCTGACAAAATCATGGTGGTGAAGCGTCCCTCGTATGAAGTAGATGGTTTGGACTTGTGCGGGTTGGATCAACGCATGTACGAAGGGTCTGAAAGAAAGGATTTCTGTATACGCAAAGAAGCTATTACCGGGAAAATGAAGTTTATTGGCTGGGCTAGTGTCAATGATATTGACGTGTATGACGGACCCTCGGGCAAGTCGATAACCAAAAGATATAAAAACAACCCAAATCTAACCATGCTCTTCAATATAGACAATTTCACCTTGCTGTGTAACAAGTCCGGCTCGTTATTTTCCTCACCTGATACGGATCAAACGACACAGAGATCATTGGAGGCCTACTTTCAGCATGACCAGCAGAAACACTGCTTCCTGCTAGATCAAGCCGGCGGAGGAAACAGTATCAATCGAGAGCATTTCCAGACCATGGACAAGATCAAACTGCACTTTATCTACCAATTTGGTAAGTGCAAGAACGAGATCAAGCAAAGCGGTAAGAGGTACAAGCGTGGCAATGCAATGTGTAACTGACCCCAAACAGATCAACTCTTGCAGTCCAGTTACTGTCAGTGGAATCAGCACCATTTCTACGCCAATGTCTATCCTACATCCGAGTATCATCAAGTACTAAACAAGGTAAGACGCCCTATTCTTTATGACAATAACATCAATTGTTGTAATGATACACAAGATAATAATGCAATCAAGAAGCTTAATAATAATAAACAAAGAACGAAATTGCTTTATTTTATATTGAAAAAAATACAGTCAATATAGAAGCTATTCTGAGCAACTGCTTCGTGGCTCCCAACATGGTAGGCTTCATTGTCCCGCACGAGAAAGACGATAATTATAGATTCGCTATCCGTAGTAAATGTGCTATTGGAAACACTGCTAATGACGAAATATCGCTGCTGACATTTCGGTCCAATGATGCACATCAAGTACAATACGCTCAGAATCAGCTGTTTGGCAACTGTAAGTAGAAATCATGCTATGTTATCATACACACACACACACACACACACACACACTCACTCACTCACTCACTCTCATCGTAGTACTTGCTTGTGATCGCGATTTGTCAAAATCAGCTCAATTGGCATGTAACACAACAGCACATATTACTACTACATCAGCGGGGCCTGCTCCAACAACAAACAACTCCAATAGTCGATTTTCCATCATCAAGCAAGACCTGGTCCGCAAAAAGAGCAAGTCAACCTTCAAGCTGTTCACTGCACTCGCAAGCCCAGCTAGCAAACCGTCCAACAAGGAGAAGCTGGGCCATGCCAGAAGCGCGAGTAGTAGCGGCAGTGGCACGACAGCGACATCATCCAACAACACAATATCGCCTTCCTCTCCGTCACCTGCATCAACGCCTACCAGACCGCGGACAACGAGTACGTACAGCGAATACATCTTGGGGCTGGAAACGTCGGGTAGCTCGATTTATCATTCGTCGTCGTCAGCATCCTCAACGCACAGCAACAATTCCATCAAATCACAACATAGCCATGAATCTCGATTAACATTACAGTCATTGGCCTCAAAAGAGCTATTGCCGCAACAGTCATCACTGCATCGATTAGCGAGCGAATCTTCTGCCAGTATCAGTCAACAGAGATATTTTAGTGTGAGTATCTTGTATTTGTATATTATCGCGTTGTATTGACATTTATGTATGTATAGCCAAGCTTTCATCCCAGCCGCACAGCATCTTATGAAATACAGGTATGTCGTCTACAAATATGCCACTATAGACCCCATCTGACGCGCCTGCCTAGTCTGCTGCTACCAAACGAGTGTCTGAGGAGTTGCATCCCATCTTTACCAACAACAACAATAGCAATTCAAGCACAACATCGAAAATTGATCATTTACTGTCCAGTCGCTCGCGATCTCCCTTTAGCATTCGAGAGCCTACACCCGCCATGATTGAACCAGGCAGTGGTTTCTCTACATTGCAAAGTCAAGCCAGTTCCACCATTTCAACGTTTAATAGCCCTATGCCTCATTATCAAGTGCAAGACCATACACCTCATCATCAAAGGCTCATGGACAATGCAACGCCGTCTTCAAGACCCTTATCCGATCTGATTATACCTATTGCAACGCCTAACAGCAAAGAGTTTGGTATCTATTCAACAAGTGCCGATGCTGCTTACAAAAGATCTCCACTAGAGTCTGATATTTATTTGGAGCTGGAGGAAAGAAATAAGACTATTTTAATGTTGACATCATTGCTCCGGAAGGTTTGTCTTGACCTACAATCATATGGTTACAAGGCTGATTTGTTGTAATAGAAAGAAGAAGAGATTGATATGCTCAAAGCAGACTTAGACGACTCTGTCTCTGAGCTTGGCACAGTGTGTGATGTAAGTCGAGATGATACCGACAAAAAAACAAGCAGTAAGCTGACCTCTTGCGACTAGAAATACAATTCTGAGCTGGATCATTTAGCTACCATGTACAGCCAGGAGCAATTAGAAAGGCCCGCTCATCCATCTCCAGATGCTCAAATCAGGAAAAAGCTAGAGACAACATTGCGAGAGAGAAATCAATGGCAACTTCGAGCAACGTAAGTATGCAAATGGTATTTATAGAGTACTGTGATGGTCTAATAACGTTGGCTGTAGTGAGCTTGAGCATCAGCTTCGATCCTTGTTACTGAATCAGCAACAGCAGCAACACGGCAACAAATACAGTAATGCTCGACATTCATATCATCAGCAGCATGACAAGAGAAGTCTATCTCATGGCGGTGGGCCTGTCATGTCGCAAGCCAACGATATGTAACATTTAATATTTACGCACCTGCTTTTCTACACGTTTCATTTTATGACATTTTTACACATATTCTCCAATCCTCATACCATGATTTTATATAGAACAATAAAAAGAAATGCAGACAGAACGACTAATTTTATACATAAGGCTTGCAAGTAGCAGGTTTATTAGGGGTTGCTTGGGCCGATTAGGCTCTTCGGTTTCTTCTACTGGCTGTAACCCTTGAGCCTCCACCAAGATTGCTTGATCCGCCTGCTGATGAACTCTCGTGATTTGAATTATGGGATGGCGTTAAGCCCAAGCTAGCCATGCCACTGCGAATACCACCAGAACCTACATTGCTGGCATTGGATGTATTAGAGGATAGCCCCAATCCCTTGCTATCATGTGGAGAGGATGTGTGCTGTTGCTGCTGTTGTAGCTGTGAATGTGGTTGCGTGGGAGACGCATCTCCGTACATCAATCTTGGTCTTCTGGATCTGCCAGCACTATTGGATGTCATGCTGATTGAAGAAGTATTTGTGGAATGCGCTGTGCGAGATGTGCTCTGTAGAGCTTCTTGGTTGTCAATGACATTCATTAAAAAAAAAATTCAGGCTACTTACATTGTCTTCTTTGCTTTTCGTGTCTAGATTGTACTGATTTGAAATGGGTCAAAAGATCCCCGTATTTGATGGTACTGATTTCTTCCGCTTTGGTAGAACTGGATTTGCTGCTTTTTCTATCTGTGGATGTGCTTGTGGCTGTTGATGAAGCAACAGGTGTTACCTTTGGAAGAACGTGGAGAAAACCGAGTGATGAGACGCTGCTTAATCTGTTTCGTAACGTGGAAAAGGCAGAGGATTGAGGTAGTAGCATCAGGATACCGTACAGGCATTTGAACAAATAGGGGTATTTTTCAGGTTCCAGCAGCTGAAGACGCAAGTCTATATTGCTTATCAGTGTTAATCTTCTGGAGGATACATACAACACCTACATGTAAACACAGGCGATTCCAACAATTGCACCAGCTTGTCCACTTGAATAAGCATATTCACTGTAATCTCCAACTCAGCACTAAAGTCTTCTGTCAGTAAACGCATCTCTAGATGCGAGCCATTTTCACTTACAATATTTGGAGCATGTTGGCAGCATGCTCATAGACCTGAGATAGCAGACACAGAGAGAACGCAGAGACAGCATTATGGCACCAAGAACGATAGAGCGCATTAAACAGACGCTGGTTATCCTTGTGCTCCAAATTTCTCAACCGTTTTCTCAGATCTGTCAGTTCAGACGAGGTGATCAAAATGATGTTCAAGTTCTGAATCATGATACTGGCAAACTCCAAATCCTCATCTTGTTCCAGAATGTCGGCAATGGCGCAGTAGATGCGTTCTGGATCCAGACTCATACACAGCTGTCTGATAATCAAGCTGCCTCTTGTCTCCAGTAAGCGTCTGTCTGTACTGAACAAGGATAATAACGACATGATGAAACTTCTGAAATAATCGTGATCCGAATAGGACGAAATTTGTGCTAATAGCTGTAAATCACGACGGACTACATCTTCCGAAGGATCCGAGAGCGTCTTGAGAAGCGCAGGAAATGTACCATCATCGGAAGCCAGGATCTTGTTGGGCGCCTTTTTATGTAGCATTAATAACCAATCGAGACTTGCAACACGGGTTTCTTCGTTTTGGTTGAGGAATTGCAATCGCAGGTTAGCCACGGTCGCTTGATAATCAAAGGGGTCTTGCTGTGCTGCTGATCCAGCGATAGAAGACACCATGAGCGACTTCTTCTTCGTATTGTCACCCGATGGATCACTTTTGCTGGCAGCAGGCTCGGGTGGTGATGCATGGATGGGTGTCTCTAACACAAGTCGTTGTAGATTTTGGTTGGTTTCAAGTGCAATGTTACGGATAGGTGTAACTGGGTGAGCGAGAGAGGGCAGCACTGCCTTGATAATCTCAGGGGTATACTGGATAATCACATTCTGAGCGATTTCAATAAATGCGTTGATCCACAACAAGGCTGTCTTTTGGATGTCCTCCTCTGAGGATGAGAGGTGAGGGACAAGGATCTCGACGATTTTCCCGTATTGCACAATAACACCTTGCCCAGGCACATAGGTGCCTTTGCCATGGCCATCATTCTCGGAGTCCACCAGCGATTTCTCGTCCTGTTCTTCCTCTTTGGCGTCATCTGCTTGGGTGGATTCATCCTGCTCTTCAGTCGCTGCTACTGCTGCTGCTGTCGCTTTCGATGCTGTGTCTTCTTCCTCTGTGTTGTCTTCAGTAGCAGTAGCATTATCTGCTGTTTTCACGCTTTTCTCTTTCTTCTTAAACAAGGCCTGTTGCTGCTGCTTTTGCTGCTGTTGTTTGATCTGCAATGTGCGAGCAGCAGCTGCTTCTTTGATCTCGTTTAAAAAGTCTTGCAACAAACCACTGGCAGCCACTCTTACATCCTCACTCACATCATTGAGACATCGAATCAAACCATCCAGGAATTCAGGCAGAAAGGATACCAGCTCGAGATCAGGGATCGAGTCCAACACACACATCCAAGACACCAAAAACTGTCTTGCGGCTGAATTGCGGACATAGATACGTTGGCTGAGCAAAGGTATAAATCGCGGTAGCGAGAAGGCTGTGTTGCGAGGAAGTGAAGAAGGTGTATCCAGTTTGTCGCCGCCTGCTTCGATCGAGTTGTACGGTTCGCTGTAAGGTGAGACGTAGGTGGTGGATAACTCGGATACAATGTCTTTGATGAGCCGATCCAGTAGCTCTGCACCATTCTTGACGCTGATCTCTGAGTCTGCAGATAACTATACAAGCACGTCAAGCACATGAAGATGGACATTTTTTGTTCAAGAGACTTTATACCTTGCATAAAGCATCAAAGATACTATTGAAATAGCGCAACACTTCACCTTTTGCCACTTTGGCAATGTTGTACATACTCTCGCAAGCGTAATAGCGCACTTTTTGATCCTGGTTGCTGAAGCATGACAGGATGGGCGGCACAATAATGTCAAGGTACCTGGAAACACCCTATCTAGTTGTGTGAGTGTCTGCAACATACCAGCGGCACAGAGCTACCTACAGGACCCAGTGCAATCGATGTCGCGGCTAACCCAATCAGACCACCATAGCGAGCATAGGGGTTGTTCGAGTACACAAACTCTTGCACAAGAGCGTCTACTATCTGTGTGATTCGTTCGTTGGAGTCTTCGTTTTCACGCACAAGTCTAGAGCAGCATGATGACTATCAGCATGGCCTCTGCTAGCAGATACTGCTCACTCACTCACCTTTCGATTTCCAGGGCAGCTGCCTTTCTTCTGTCGTAGATTTTATCGGTAAGCCCTTTGATAAGTGTTGGTGAAAAGATGCTCGCTTCCATTTTTGCTCAAGAAAAGTGAGGGGAAAAAGGAATAAAAACTCAACGAAAAGTTTTTGTGGGTTTTTGATGGAAACACTCTACATTTACCCCTCATGACGTATTTCCTTTGCTGCTGTAAATACGTTGTACGACGCTTGTTTATGCAGGTGTGTGATGAAAGAGTCATTTGTACGGCGATATGATCTCAATGGTGATCAGTGTGTGTGTGTGTGTGTGTCAAATGCCAGTGCTTCATTATCGTCATTACATTTGATCTTGATACTCTTTCAAGCTCGTGGCTTCATCAGTACAACTAATTTACTAGGTAAACACATCTGCAGCATCAGCATTTAGGGATACGAGTGTGAACATTGATTTTTATTGACTATGTGTCATGATCTATTGGATCTTATCCTTGTTGGCAGTAAGATATTCTTCCAAGGTTTCAGGCTTTCTACCAAGCAAGATCTCAATTGAAGGATTCACCTTGCTATCGTCGTTGCTATCCAAATTATCAACGAAATCAATGGCAAACAAGTGAGGAAAGTGGCCAAGTTCCATGATCTTGTTGTATTTTTGAACGGGAGACACCTGAATGTACTTGATATCTTGTCCAGTAACGCGACTAAAGATGGCAGCACGCTCAGCAGAAGTGACAACATCACCGGTAAGGTTATATACAGCATCCATGTGCTTCTTCACATCTTCACGCAAGACGACAGCAGCAACAGCACCAATGTCATTGGGAGAGATCCAGCCTTGAGCAAGATTGGGGTCGGAGGTATCGTAGAGACCTTTATCAGCAATAGGACGAGCCATTCCGAAGTGATTTGACATGAAACGACCAGGACGAAGAGCTACGAAATGACCACGGTTGGGGATATCAAAGATAGCCTTCTCGCCATAGTAGTGATGAGAGCCAATAACAGTGCTTCTCCAACCCATATTGACACTGAAGGAGGAGATATCGACTACTTGCTGTACACCAGCCTCATAAGCGTAAGTAGCAATTGTCTTTTTGATGTTTACGAAATCGCCAAAATCACCAACCAACAAGAGCAGACGAGTATGGCCCTTGATACTTTCCTTGATGGGCGATAAATCGCTGTAATCGCCTACAACAGTATTGACGAGATCGCTTGAGAATAAGGAGGCTACCTTTTCAGAATTGCGAGCATACAATGTAACGGGGATCTTGTTGTCAATAAGGTCATTGACAGCTTTCACGCCAATATTTCCAGTGGCACCAATGACGAACACTCTTTCAGCAAACATTTTGTATGTAATAAAATTCAAATAATAGAGAAATAATTTGATATCTGGAGAAAATCCGAAATAGACGTCTTTTATATACCTCGTCTTTTCTGAAACCGAAGCATTTTGAATAGACATTTAATGCAACGCAATTCGGAAATCATCCACGTCAAGCAATTACTATATTTGTAGATATTCGTCTTGGCCGAATATAGCAGTAATCTTACGTTTCCCATTTGAAAGAGTAATTGAAATAATGATTCCTGTTTAAAGCTTGTAGCCCATCTGAAACTGCAATGTGTCTCTTTGCGATGGTATTGTCGATGAATTGATCTTTTTTATGCTAAAAGTAATGATTAATTTCGAATACGAATTTTACTGTAACGTAATCACCTTCCAAATCAAGCCATACGGCGAAGATGCGCGCCACCGCCGATAGACAGCATAGATTATTTACATCCCGTTTGCCATTGGGATCCTCCCGCATCCTCAGGAACCAAAATCTCATGGTACTTGGCCTGCTTATAAATTTCAACAAAATCGTGTATAGGTTCTGAAAGTTTGCTATAAGATTGAGCTACAGGTCGAATGATATTGATGTGGTAATCAATGTCATCATTGTATATACGCATACAACTATGAATCGGAATTAAATTACCTCACAACAATCAATTCTATTTCTTGAATATAAAACGCGTGCAATAGAAGCAAGTAATAATAAGCTATCATTACTTTTATTTCCTAATCCCTTCATATTAGCTTGAGAAACATCAATTGTCTCCATGAAAAAAGCATTTAGCCACTCATCAAAAATATTTGACTCTCCGAACCGTAATTTTTCTCCCAAAATGGCAAATCTTGCTGGAATTTCGACTTGATTAAACTATTCTAAAAGATTCGATTATATCATAATGATCGCCTCTTACTCCATTATGCTGCCCGTGGTGGTAGGGCGAAGTGGTTAAGCATCCAACATGCCATCTGGATGATCCCGGTCCAAATCTCAGTGAATGCATTTTGGTGATTATTTTGACGTAGTACTGATGTTCTCGTTTGGTGTTTTGTGCTCTTATCCAGTATCCATATTTTGACGATTCGCATAATTGTATTGGCTCTAGGTGTCGCACCTGATTAGTAGTAGATTTCTTTCCCAACTTAGTTCATTATATATCTTATTCCCCATCATATCAGACATTGGGTCCACCAACAGTCTTTTCTTTCCCTCAGTATGACATTTTAAGGACTTTAAATAAAACCTGGAGCTCGACTCCCCTACAAAAAAAAAAAAAAAAAAAAAAAAAAAAATTACTCCCTTATTCTTTCTTGGAGCATTTTTTAAGGCGCATCCAATGATACCAATTATAATGGATGTTTTGAACGAGCTACTGAGTAATTTATGAAAATATGAAATGAGGTTTCTGGCCAAAAAGTCGAGATTTTACATATCAAAGTCCCACAAAACTGACTTTGGCGGTTGCATTGAATCGATAGAAACATGTTGATTAAATATACACCATAGTAAAAGTCTTCATTATCAAGGTGAAAAACGCGATCGTTTGATTTTTAATGAAAATCATGAGGGGCACCTCATGCTTTTTGGTCGATTTTTGACAAAGATTTTTTAGTCCCCAAAAAGTTGAGCAAAGGTGTCAGGAAGTAAGTGCTGGATGAGGGCAACTGCTTGGTGCTATTCTGACGGTTTAAAACGGCTTCTATCGCGAGAAATATGAGCTTAAATACATCTAAATCTTGCTGTGAATTGCATGTATTTGAATAATAAAAGGGAATACGAATATGGTGTCTGCTCTATCATAATTATTTTCACTGACACAGACATGGAGCATTGCAAAAGAGTCAAATCCACAGTTACAGAACGTTTATAAAGAGCTCTGCTGTGCTATCAAAAGGCTGAAATGTGAAATCTTGGTACATTTGGCGTTCAACATGGAATCGCTCAGCTGTGGCACGACCAGATCTGTACTCAAATTCATGCAAAGTCTCAATTGAACCTAAGGAACAGCTTTCGAGTATCTCTCTTCCCAAATTGACTTGAAATACCTGTGCAATACGGGTTGGCCTAAGAATGAAAAAGACATATCGTGCATTGCTGTAGCGCAAGGCGATCTGACAATATATTAGTTGGTAGAATATAAGAAATGATTTTTTATTGAATGCACGGATGTTTATCGTATACATAGAAACATATAGATATATTCACTTGAGATTGTTCTTGTTGGCAGTAAGATATTCCTCTACCGTCTCAGACTTTCTACCTAGTAGTATCTCAATAATAGGCGTAGTTTTATCATCATGACCATCCAAATCAGTTACTAGATCCAATGCAAACACATGAGGAATGTGGCCAGATTCCATGATTTTGTGATACTTATGAACAGGTGAGATTTGAGTATACTTGATGTTCTGTCCAGTAATGCGCGTCAATATAGCAGCCCGTTCGTTGGAAGTAACCACATCACCAATGAGACTATACACAGCATCCATATGTTTGTTGACATCTTCGCGCAACACCACCGCGGCAACAGCGCCAATATCATTTGTAGAGATCCAGCCTTGGGGAGAATCTGGTGCTCCATTATCGAAAAGGCCTTTATCTGCGAGGGGACGCATCATGCCAAGATGGTTTGATGTGAATCGACCTGGACGAAGCGCAACAAAATGACCACGATTAGGGATATCATAGATGGCCTTTTCAGCATAGTAATGAATGGACCCAATGGAAGTACTTCTCCAACCCAAATTGACTACCAAAGAAGAAATATCGACAATTTGCTTGACACCAGCCTCATAAGCATAGGTAGCGATGGTTTTCTTGATGTTGACAAAATCATAGAAATCACTCACCAGCAAAAATAAACGTGTGTGCCCTTTTATACCTTCCTTGATGGGTGATAAATCCTTGAAATCGCCTTGAATCACATTTACAAGATCGCTCGAGAACAAGGAAGCAACTTTCTCGGGACTACGAGCAAATAGAGTGACAGGAATCTTATGGTCAAGAAGGTCATTGACAGCTTTCACGCCAATATTTCCAGTGGCACCAATGACGAACACTTTTTCCGCAGACATTTTAGATATAAAACTTAGATAATAGCAAGAATAATTTGATAACTGGAGAAAAAGAGGTTTGATTTATAACATTCCTTTTATATCTTTTTGCTAAAGTCTAAATCAGTGATGTTGTGTAATGTGATATGGTAGGGAATTTAACTTGTAATGTCAACATGTCATGCTCGACAAGTATAATTGTCTGGGATACATTTGGTTTCAAACGTTAAATAGCACAATACGTTAATTTATATTCAAAATCTCTAAAACTGAGTAAACATAATGTGCATAGCAAGCGTCATTTTAGAAAATGTTTATCAGCTTGCAATGATCATTCTTGGTAAAAGGTGTATCCTACGGATCGGCACGGAAGCTTAGAAATGCCGCTGCCGTCTAATTATCCCTATTTAATGTTCAACACGGCGCATATTCCCTCTCATGAAGAATGATAATGGGTAGAGTCATTGTCGAGGCATATGACTGAAACTGAAAGTTCATGATGCGCAATACATCTCAATCGTAGCTATAAATATTTTTTTGTGAAAAGGACGCTATTATCCATGAATATTGATCTCGTATTATCATGATGATTTGTGGCATGAGATAGTTTTTAGCCAAAATGTGATAACTAACAAACCTATTCATAAAGGCATCGATATACATATACATTTGATACCATCACATACATTTATAGTCTCTAGACACTTTTATAACCTTACTATGGAAAACTGAGTTGCCAGGCATGGTTCATATATGACTAGAAATTTTTATTAAATTGCTATCGATCAACAATCAGGCTTCATCTAACATGTTAGCTATTATTAATTTTGCAATATTAGCCAAAGGCTTACGGCAGCGCAAGCTACTGAACGTTGGTTGGTTTCCATCGAAGAATTGAAATGCTCATTGTAACATAATAAATTTATGGTCCCTAGACACTTTCAAAGCCTCAAAAAGGAAAGAAGTTGATCTGACAAGTATTTTGATACACTGGCGTTATTAAATATAGAATGCAAGAAAGATGGCATGGCTAACGATGGTGCTATACTTTCCCCCTGCTTTTCATATGCTTCAAAAGCATCTATTAACTGCATTGCCTTCATAATGAACAGGGCATTGAGTTTGCCAGCCAGCCCCACCAGCCAAAATCAATTCAAATCCAGACTATTGATTTGTTCCAGATTGGACAAATTTTGATGATTCTGGACTCGATCGAGCTATTTTTGCAGATTCGACTAAGTGAAGTATGATAATCATCCCATGCTTCCTTAAGCTTTCCTAGAGTGCTTTTCAAGGCGCATCCAATGGTACCAAGTAAGATAGATGTTTTGAATGAACTTATTGAACAATCTATGAAAATATGAAAAGAGGTTTCTGACCAAAAAATTGAGATTTTACATATCAAAGCCCCACAAAGATGATTTCAATGATTGCGTTAGATCGATAGAAACACTTTGATTCAATATCATAACATAATAAATGTTCAGTACTTTTGCACTTTACAATCCTAATATGGAACCTGAGTTTCAAGGCATCTATCAGACCTGGCTCATATCATAACATAATAAATGTTCAGTACTTTTGCACTTTACAATCCTAATATGGAACCTGAGTTTCAAGGCATCTATCAGACCTGGCTCATATCATAACATAATAAATGTTCAGTACTTTTGCACTTTACAATCCTAATATGGAACCTGAGTTTCAAGGCATCTATCAGACCTGGCTCATATGAGAATAATGATTTTACAATCAATCAACAAAAACCACTGTAATTTCTACCCTCTTTCCTCTGCTCAGTGCTGTCAATGTTTTATTTGAGCGACGTCTCAGAGCCTCAGAGATTTCATTACTTACTGCAGACATTTTATGCAACCCATGCATTGTCAATGTCCAGACTAACGTTATTAAATATAGAATGCAATAAAATATCATTATGAACGATATAGAAGGCAATAAAATATCATCATAAACGATAGTGCTATGACCTGCCATCTACTTTCTATACGCTTCAAGGGCATTTACTACTGTATTGCCTTATGAAAAGGGCATGAGTTTTCCAGCTGGCCCTACCAGCCAAAATTAATTCAAACCCAGAATCATAGTCTGTTCCAGATTGGACATATTTTGATAATTTTGGACTCGATCGAGCTATTTTTGCAGATTCGACTAAGTGAAGTATGATAATCACCCCATGCTTCCTTAAGCTTTCCTGGAGTACTTTTCAAGGCGCTTCCAATGGTACTAAGTAAAATAGATGTTTTGAATTCACTTATTGAATGATTTGTAAAAATATGAAAAGAGATTTATGGCCAAAATGTCGAAATTTTACATATCAAAGTCCCACAAAGATAATTTCAGAGGTTGCTTTGGATTGATAGAAACATTTTGATTCAAGATATACCATAGTAAAAGTCTCCATTATCAAGATGAAAAATGCGGTCGTTTGATTTTCGATGAAAACCATGAGGGATACCTCATGCTTTTTGGTCGATTTTTGACCATGTTTTTTTGGTCCCCAAAAAGTCGAGCAAAAGTGTCAGAAAGTAACTGCCATATGAAAGCAACCATTTGGGGCTATTCTGACGATCTAAAACGGCCTTGAACGCAAGAAAATTCAGCTCAAATGCATTCATACATTGCTGTATTAGGGACACTAAGGACTAAAAAGTGGGAATACCAGTATGCTGCTTGCCCGTATATGAAGTAGCTACGTGTATATGGATGTAGAACATCACATAAGAATCAGATCCACAGATAATATGAAGGGTTACTATGTGTAAGTGGAGGGTCAAAATGAAAGTAGCAGTATTTTGATAAAATACGCAAGAGCAATCAGTAGCACGAGCTGCCGCTGCGCAGGTTGGTTCTCTACCTTTGCTACGCTTCGGTGAGAACCATCCGAAGCATAAACACTCATACGATTAGTGATTACATATCAATCAACAATCAGGGTTCCTCTTCTAACATTTTAGCTATATTAATTTTGGGATGTTAGCCAAAGGCCCGCGGCAGCGCGAGCCGTTTGAACGTAGGTTGGTTTCCACCGAAGCGAAGCGTAGGTCAGGAAACCACCCGAAGTGCTGAAAGGCTCGTATACCATAGTAAAAGTCTTCGTTTTCAACGCGGAAAACGCGATCGTTTAATTTTCGATGAAAACCATGAGGGGTACCTCATACTTTTTGGTCGATTTTTGGCCATGTTTTTTGGATCCCCAAAAAGTTGAGCAAAAGTGTCAGAAAGTAACTGCCAGATGAGAGCAATTGTTTGGTATTATTCTGGCGACCTAAAACGGCTTTGAGCGCAAGAAAACGCAGCTCAAATGCACTCAAATTTTGCTGTATCAGGGGGGCACTAAGGACTAAAAAGGGGAAATACCAGTGTGCTGCTTGCCCGTACATGAAGTAGCTACTTGTATATGGATGTAGAGCACCACATAAGAATCAGATCCACAGATAATATGAAGGGTTACTATGTGTAAGTAGAGGGTCAAAATGAAAGTAGCAGTATTTTGATAAAATACGCAAGAGCAATCAGTAGCACGAGCTGCCGCTGCGCAGGTTGGTTCTCATCGAAGCGAAACAAAGGTAGAGAGCCATCCTAAGCATAAATACTCGTATAATATAACAATTTTCTCTCGGCTATCATATTTTCTTTCTTCTCGTTATGATATGTCCGATGGAATGCATTGATATGTGCATACACCAACCCAGGCTTTTTCGATTTGCTTGTCAATGGCCACTGCATATTTGTATAATACATGTTGTGCCTGAATATTCAAATACAAACACTTGAAATAGTCTATTTCAATATGCAATTTCAAATGCAACATCAACCAAGGAAAAGGACATTTACTACATGCACATATCACAATGCCATACATAGAGGAGTTATTACTGCCATACTTGGTAGTCTATATGAAACAGACTCTTCCCGTGGGCTTTGTATTTGAATCTCGAGCTAATGATTACTCCACTCCACATTTGAATAGAGATGTTTTGATCTCAATAGGAAATGTGTCAGGCATCGTGATGAAACCCTATTTTACGACCAACCATATAATCTATAGACCACACTATCTCATCATCCGCAGAAAAGCTCTAATAAAACACACATGAATCGAGATAGGGTTTATATATAGCAATGTGCTGGCATCACAAATCAAATTAAAAACATACAGCGGTGGCGGTAGCAGTAGTTGAAGCAGTAAAGGGATCAACTGTACGATTTACTCGATCGATGAAGACAGGGTGATCAAGTCAATTCTATATGCCCCTTGATTTGTGCTTTTGATCGGGTATCTTTTAAACGAAAATGTGTCTATACGAATGCGTACGTTGAAACGAGATACACAACAGTAGTAAAGTGACTCATTCAAAATGGCATAAAATGGACACATATTCAAATGGCCTATTAAATCTTGAATTCTCAAGGACCTATGCTTGTTTGCTGTGCTCTCTCTGAAACAATATTAGGCCTGATTATCAAAGCTCACACGGTTGTTACATGAAGCAAGCTTTTGAATAAGTGCATGTTACACATTGAGGGGGTCCATTGTTTATATATATTACACATTTTGACAGTGGTAGTTGACAAAGCATCTACAGACAAACGAGATGATATGCAGGCCAAAAGAAAACAACCTTGAAATGGACTAGTCCACGCTGTTCAGTTTTTGGTATATGTCTCCCTCTTTACAATAGTGTCCCCTTTATTCTGACAGCCAAATGTCCCTAATGCTGCGATTCATTATGAAGCGGTAAGACCCTAAAAGGAGCCCTTTAAATTAATCATCTAGTCATTAAAACATGTATTTAAAGAGAAGAATGCCATCTCTCTCTCTCTCTCTCTCTCTCTCTATTTCCTCCCTTTATCACTTTTGCTTGCAAAATAATAATGGACATCAAAAATTTACTCTGCCATACTACACAGCATTATAATGAACAGCAATACGAAAAGCAGGTCTTTGGGTATTGTCCCGCATCACCATCTTCATGGTCAAGTGCATCCTCCAAATCATCAATAGATTCACCTATTTTATCACCCACGACGCCTACGCCTATCACGCCTCCTCATGCACTACGAAAAAAACTACATCAAACCCGAACACCATGGACATCATCTGAAGATTATTTATTAGAAAAGGGTTATTTGCAAGGTTTATCCTGGGCAATGATCTCTTCAAAATACTTGCCTCATCGTTCTCGTGGTTGTTGTTGGGGGAGATTCAGGACGCTGCAGACCAAAGGCACTGAAAAGAAGCATTGGACTGAATCCGAGGATCGTGTATTACTGGGTGCCATCAAGAAGCATACTCGGTTATTCAAGCAAGCTTGGAGAACTGTAGCATTGGATTTGAGTGACAGAGATTGGAGAGAATGTGAGATTCGATCTGTTCGTATCTCTGGTATATTAGTACAACAACATCGACAACAACAACAACAACAGCAGCAGCAGCAGCAGCAGCAGCAAGACTATACAGTATATACCTCTGTTTAAACGTTTCCATTTTTTTGCAAGCGAAAAAATGCACATTTGATTGTTTATAATTAAATGGAATATATCCTGATTTCCTCATTATTCGACTCTATTTTGATTCTTCTCTCTCTCTCTCTCTCTCTCTCTCTCTCTCTGTTCCCATCTATAACACTATTTATGATTTTGATCTTCTTGGATAGCTCTCCTTACGACTAGAAAGAAAAAAAAATTACACACACACACACTTTTTCGTATCCTTTTTCATTGTATATATACAAGGACAATAATTTATATGATTTTTTTTCTAAGCATAATAGCAATGACATTCGTTTTCCCCCCACACATCTGAATAAAATGGCGTGCGCGTTTTATTACATTTGATACATACATGTATATATATATACATGTAATTTCAATTCTCGGTAATTTTGGTTCTCTCAAGTTGGATTCAATTAAAATCATCCCGATATTAGCATGTAATCATGGTGAGCTCCTTTTTTTCCCTTTCCCATTTGTGTTATATATACATTGACATATAGATGAACTTGGTTATCATATTCGTACTATGGCTCTCCTTATACGCTGTTCATTGCCATATTCAACATAACAAACGCAAAGACGAGCTATCAGAATTCAGCCTGCCCTCCTGTGGAATTACACCTACGGTACCCAAGAAAAGACTGCGCATTGCATTCATTTCGCATGAATCTGCTATGGCCACTTTCTTTCATAACCCAGAACAAGGTTCACGGGATGCTGCAAACATGGTCGATGTCGATATTGAATGGAACCGCTACTTGACTATATCAGAATCCAAGATGGCTCAGGACATCTATGATGCAGTGAACAGTGCAAGTCCTCACACATGTACTCATCTGCATCGATGCTAACAGTAAGTCTATCATAGGGCATCGACGGTATTATAGCATCTATACCCAACGACAGTGTGTTTAAAGCCATACAATATGCGGTATCAAAGCACATACCTGTCATCGTGTTCAACGCAGGCCTTGATTATGCACTCCAACTAGGCCTCACCCGAGTATTGCAAGACGATGTAGAAGCAGGGAATTTATTAGGCGAGAAACTCTACAATGCCAACTTCTCGAAACCGTTGGCTGTGCAGCTGTCTTCCTTGGATGATGGTACTAGTGTGCGTCGAAGATGGGGTATCCAACAAGCCATAGGACAAGCTCCTGCATTACTAAAGATCTATGAAGATGCCAATGTCACTGCAGCTAGCACACCTGCGCAGTTTGTGCGCGATGCTTTTCTTTCAAATCCTGGTGCTTATGATTCGATTGTATCGCTGGGTGGATCAGTAAGTGAGATCCAATGTATGAAGAGGAGCCCTTGCATGTATTAATACTCCTAGTTATTTCATGTTATAGTCATGTGCAGACATTGTTGCAGCGTCAGTGCTAGATTTGAAACGTAACCTTGCTTTCACGAATATTGCATCTGCGTTTTTTGATATTGGCGGTGAAAACGTATCTGCTCTGTTTAGACTTGAAAACAATACATTTGCAGTGACACAATTGCCGTATTACCAAACTGCATTGCCGGTGTTTTACATGTATATCAGGGTAAAACGTCCAGAGAAAAAGTGTTTCTACTGCATTGACTCATAGTGAACAACGACATAGCTGCTGACAGGGGAAGATGTATTCAAAAACCAAACCATCAAAACTGGACCCAACCTGGTCACCAATGCAACCCTGTCTTATTTTCTGCAAAACGAGGCGAATTCACTGATATCCATCAACGACAAATCTGGATCGATAGGCGCTCTTGTTCCGCATACCCGAGGAGATACATACAATGCTGCCATGATGGCAGGCGTCTCCCATCTGGCACAGAAACTCAACTGGACAGTATACAATCCCAAGGAAGTGCGTGCCATCTTGCAAGAAACACATTCTTTTTGTTTACTCAAACAGCTATTCTTTGATAGGAGGGCTTGCTGAATTCACCACAAGCCACGAAAAAAAACGTAGACTATTTCCTCGACAAGGGAGTAGATGGGATACTCATGCAATCCAGCAACCATCAGATACTGACATACGCTTCACAAGCCATCAATAGAGCAAAGACGCCCACCAGCGCTGTTGCAGTTGGCTCGTTCTTTGAACGATACAACAGAACCTACCCGTAATGTACATGGATCACTCTGCAATGGACAAGGGCATGATTGATTTTACTCACCAGTTGTCTATAGGAACCTCTCCAATGTAGCGCTGGATATAGTAGGACTATCTAGATCCATTGCGCACAGAGTTGTTGCAGATGGCAACAGTCGACCTGTGTGCATCACAGAGCGGTCCATTGACGTACAAAGTTCCTTTTGTCAGTATTTTTATGTAGCGTATCAAGAGTTACACGGTAATAACGCGCTTGTCAAGCAGGAACAAGTAGTGCAATCGGTCAATCTCTCTTATCCAGGTGCTATGGAAAATGAATTCATGGCCATACTGCGTCGACTGTATGAAGATGACGCCTATGAGCCTGACAGCTACATTGCGTTTTCAGAATATGTGTTTTCCATCATCAACAGTGTAAGTCGCTTGTCTGCCACCGTGCTTGTGCGTATCAAACTGACACACTGTGCTATAAACTAGCGCATCCTCAAGGGCTATCTCAAGAACAGCGCCATGTCTGTGTACACGGCGGGCGAACTGTTTGACCAGAATCAAGCCTATCTAGAGGGACGTGTCAAAGGGCTGTGGGCCACTAACATGTTCTCCGTAGGCTTCATGTCCTTGCTGCATATTGTGCTCAACAAAATGATTGATATTCCTTCTTGGAAAGGCGCATTGATATCGATACCGCGCATCCAGAACATCTGTGATCCAGGCACCTATCACTCCAACTTCACCACCACTGCATACTGCCAAGACGCGAATGGCAATACACAGAAATCAATACAATGTATCCAATGCCCTGAAAACATGTACACTGACTTGCCTGACCAATATCAATGCAGAGGATGCGCGCAGGGCTACTATTCAATACCTGGTTCATCTTCATGCAGCTCCTGCTACGATGGATTTGATAATCATACAAGCAGCGCTATCAAGAGCACCTGCACCGCTTTCATCAATGACCAAGCTGCCCAAAAGCGACAACTGTACATGCTAATTTTTATACCCATTATCACCGTCTTGTTTTTGATTACACTGGCCTTCTTGGGCAGATACTTGCGAAAACGATGGTTGGCACAACGCACGCTAGGCAGTGATGAGGATTGGCTGCTTTCCTTTAACGAGCTTGTGAAGCCGTCTATTTATCGACTGGAGAGTAGTGGCAACAGGAAGAGTACGGTTCAAAAGTCATTACTATCGAGACCGGAATTGCCTTTACAGAGATCAAGTAGCAGTATAACAACGCCTTTGATGGTTGTAAATGACTTGAACCCTGTAGAGAACGAACTTGTCCCAGCAGCAGCACCGGCAGCAGGAGAACATGGTGGTGGTGGTACTGATGATGGTGTTATTGCCATCCCCAAGCAACATCCGGCCCCGATCAAGGATACACCTCCGTCCCATAATTTGAGATTTGACCCTGATCTACAACAGCATGTCAATCATAGCCATCATCAACAGGAAAAAGGAGAGATTCAAGGAGTAGCAAAGAAGAAGAAGAAAAAGTTGTCTGAATCATCTACATCCACCACAACAGCGTCCATAGCATCTTCCACCTCCGTAATGGCTACAATGGGCATCGCAGGAGGATCCTTGCTCATTCACAAGAGCAACCATCCAAGGTCAGGAGCAACTTTAGCAGCGCAGCAGCAGCACAACAAAGCTGACAGCAGATCCATCTCAGGAAAGCCTGAATTTATACGTGCCCTTGGATCTCAGTAAGTCATCCATAGATCATAGTCGTTGATGTAGGCTTACACTATGTCTAGTCGCAATTTGCCAGTGTACATTAAGCAGATTGGATTCAAAAAAGTGCGTGTGGATAACGACTTGCGCAAAGAAGTGTCCTTGATGAAGAACATAAGACACTCTAAACTGACTGAGTTTATTGGCTTGGTCCTGGAACCCCAGCGAACATTCATTGTAGAAGGTACACATAATTTATAGAGGCAGCCGATAGCTACTGAATGTCTTTTGATTAGAATACTGCTCAAAGGGGTCCTTAGCGGATGTACTAGCCAACCCTGATATCGATTTAGCATGGATCTTCCGATTCGCTCTGATTAACGATTTAATTAGTGGTATGTATACATGTACATCCCTGCCTCTCTCACACGCCATTCTTTACTGACACACCTACAGGGATGCGATTTTTGCATCGATCGAAATTTCAATACCATGGGTGCTTAACGTCAGATTGCTGCATGGTGACTGGAAGATGGGAGCTCAAGATTTCCAACTATGGACTCAGGCAGCTAAAACATTCGCAAGTGGTAGATACCATGGGCAGTTCTTCTACTGCCCTGAAAAGAAATAACAGTTTATTTCTAAAAGACGCTGCTCCCACAGATGAAGTTGCACATGTGTTGCGATCGCCCGAGGCACTTTTATGGTTGGCTCCTGAATCCGTAGTTACAACATCTTCCAATGTCTACTTGGTCTATCCCAGCAAACCAGCTGATGTGTACAGGTAAGCTTTCGAGTGGATGTACAGCAACACCAGTCATCTCATCGCACTCTTCAGTGCGGGTATCATCATCAATGAAATCCTGACAAGAGAGAAACCCTACGCCAATCAGCAATCTTGCCCTGAGTCCACCTTTCAGCAAGTGTGCACTATGAATCTCAGGCCTCGAATGCAACCACCGGGCATAGACGACTTTACAGAGGGCATGAACTCTATCGTCTCGGACTGTCTGCAACAAAATGCCTATGCTCGTCCATCGTTCACTTCAATTGGGGTAATTAGGATTCCCTCATTCTCATGTGGATAGTCTAATGGCATGTTATGTATCGTGTAGAGTCGAGTGGAAGAACTGGACCCTTATTTCTATGACTCAGAGTCCATGATTGATAACATGGCGATGTTGGTATGTAGTTGAGCTCATGTTTGATTGTATCTGTTTGTTCACGCTTGCTTCTTATAGCTCGAGAAATACGCAACCAACATGGAAATTTTGGTAAAACAACGCACAGCAAACCTGCAACAACGAACAATGGAGCTGGAGGAAGAAAGAGCAAGGACAGAAAAGTTGCTAAAGGGTGAGATTCGCTTACATACAGATACAATGCCGGCATAGTATAACACTGAAATACTTAGATTTAAAGATGGCAAAAGAAGTAGCTGAAGCAGCTGCTGCCTCCAAGCAGAATTTCCTAGCAAACATGTCACATGAGATACGCACACCCATGAATGCAGTAATTGGCATGTCGAGAAGCTTGATGGAGAGTGAAGAGCTGCCCATAGATTTATATGATTGTGCTGAAACAATCGAGTCTTCAGGTGCGTGTCTGTACGTCATACTAATGTACTCGCAGTAACCTCCCGTGTAGGCAATCATTTGATGGCATTGATTGATGATATTTTGGACTACTCCAAGATTGAATCAGGCAAACTAGCGCTGGAAAGAAGCAACTTGGATTTGGTATGTAGACATTGAAACCTGAAACAAGGCAAACAACTTATACAAACTCTGTAGACGTATGCCATTGAAAGCGCCATCAAGCTGATTTCAGGCAACTACCTCAGTAAAGGCCTTGTATTATGGTATACCATTGCCCCTGAATTACCAGTGCACGTACTAGGTGATCTCGTGCGGCTCAGGCAGATATTACTCAACTTGTATGTAACGACGGTTGCATTCATCCTGTGCTGGACAACTAACCTCAAAGCAGATTGTCCAATGCCTTCAAATTTACAAAAGAAGGCTATGTATGTATATCAGTCATGCCTTACCAACAGAGCGACGTAAGTCAACCCGAGAGTACTGTCGTCAATGACGCTTCTACACCGCTTGGTATCAGCCCTAATCTCAGAGACGATAAATTTGATCCCACTGCCATGGTCACCTATCTCTTTTCAGTCAAAGATACAGGCATTGGCATACCTGCAGAAAAGACGAACAAGCTGTTCAAATCCTTTTCGCAAGTGGACGCATCTACAACACGAAATTTTGGAGGGACAGGTAAAAAAAAAAAAAAAAAAAAAAAAAAAAAAAAAAAAAAAAAAAAAAAGCCGTGCTGTATAAAGGAAGCTTTGTTGACAGACAACTTAGGGCTTGGGTTGGCTATCAGTAGAAAGCTGTGTAGGATCATGGGCGGCGACATGTGGGTAGAATCAGAGCCAGGAAAAGGCACTACCTTCTACTTTAAGGTGGATTTACAAAAGCAAGAGGACTCCATCACGTACGGTCAAGAGAACCATCTACTAGAGCTGTCCACAGCTTGCCCTCGACCTCTGATCATATCCGAGAATGAGGCTATTCAAGTGAAATGGGTGGCTATGCTGCACAACATGGGCATACCCAAAGCAACCTACATGTCTATCAGTCAAGCCGAGCGCCACTTCTCACAGGTCGAACACAAGCAGCCCATGCTCTTTTCCATCATCATCATCGATACCGATTTCAGCACAAAAGATGTCAAGTTTAGCAGCACCAATGTACTAAAGACGTTAGAGACATGCTACAGCCATGTAAAGTTCATTCCCACTTTGTGTGTCATTGACAATCGTTTAAAGAGGCCCAATAGCGACGATAAGGAGGAAAGTATATCTGATTCATGTATCCAGCATCCTGTGGGCTCGGTAGATCCAATACCCACGCCCAACGATGAGAAATCAGACCCCTTTGCTGCTGCCAATGCGACACTATCTCCACACATTCAACATCCATCGCCACCTGCTTGTTTGCATGCTACTATCACAAAGCCCTTCAAAAACTCGCGACTCATCAGCATACTGCATGAACTGCTCAACAGCACAGAGAAATCACCTACAGGTAGAAGAAAAAGAGTGGCATCTGTTGGATCCATCAGTCTAAGGTCCATGCGCCGTAGCAGCACGCAGCGCCACTGCTCCAGTAGGAGAAGTCGCCCAACGAGTGGCCAAGCAAAAGACGCCATGGAGAGCACTGCATCATCCGAGTCAGGATCCTCTGACAATCTGGCCAACATCAAGACACTCGTCGTCGATGACAACCCCATCAACCTCAAGGTACTATCCAGAATGCTGATACAAATAGGCATACAATCACAAACAGCCAGCAATGGACGAGAAGCATGCGACATGATTGCCAAGGATCCCTTTGATCTGGTGTTTATGGACATCTGGATGCCAGAAATGAACGGTTTAGAAGCAGCTGAAAAGATACGGCGCGAGATGGCCACTTCTGCTGTCCATCCGTACATCATTGCGCTGACGGCATGTGTAATGCCTGGTGATAGAGACAAGTGCATTGAAGCAGGCATGAATGGCTATGTCAGCAAACCCATTCGGAAAGAAGAGCTTGAGGCATCGATTCATACTTTTACGCAGACTGTGTTGCGCATGAGCGATGATGGTCTTTGAAAATAGGGCGTAAAGTCACAGTGTTATGCAATTCGCATTTTACAATAAAAGCATTGCGCGTCCTTGTTTCTCTCGTTTTTTCTTTCTTTGTAAACCAAACAGTTGAAAAATGACATATCCTCCATTCAGATTAGAAGCCTCTCTTACCAGCCATGAGCAAGATGTAGTATTCAGCACATCTGTAAAGTTATATGAATGACTAACGTAATGGCATTAGGTGAGAGCGGTAGCTGCCATGTCAAATGATGTGCTTATTTCAGCTGCTCGTGATAAGACTGTGCGTTCATGGACTCGCACCAGTCCAAATGCATTTGCTCCTCATCACATTTATCTAGGACACGGCCATTTTGTAAACGCATTGGCATTGATCAAGCCAAATCAGGCCTATCCTGAAGGTAAATGGAAGCCATGTGTGTGTGTGTACCTGATAGATAGACTAACCGCTCACACAGGCTTGATCGTATCTGGTGGATCTGACAAGTTTATCAATGTCTATGATCCCAATCAACCTGCTGAACCTCGATACACACTCATTGGCCATAGCGAGAATGTCAGTGCTTTGGCAACAACTCCTTCTGGATATATTGTATCTGGTTCCTGGGACAAGTAAGTGCAGAATGGATCGACCAAAGCATTATTGCAGTACGGATAACACTGGCAATAGCAAAGCAATTGTGTGGAAAGAGTTTCAACAAGCCTATGTGCTTGAAGGCCATACTGCTTCTGTTTGGGCCGTGCTGGCTATTGAAGACGATTTGATTTTGACAGGTTGGATTTTTTTCATCTCGCATGTGTAATCAGCCACTCACTCACCCATACGCAAATAGCTTCTGCTGATAAATCGATTCGTTTGTGGAGAAATGGAAAGTTGGTTCATGTCTATCAAGGTCATACTGAAGCTGTGAGAGGACTTGCATTGGTACCCAGCGTTGGATTCGTATCATGCTCAAATGACGGGTAAGTCAATAGTCAGACAACAGACGGTGGATGCTGATTATCAAGCAGCACATTGAGAGTTTGGACTTTGGAAGGAGAATGCATTCAGCAATTAGATGGCCACACATCGTTTGTCTATTCTGTCGACGTTTTAAGCACAGGCGAATTTGTGTCTGCTGGTGAGGATCGTACAGTGCGCATTTGGAAAGATGGAAACAACATTCAAACATTGCAACAGCCTTGTGTGTCTGTATGGACTGTTGCTGCTCTGCCTAATAACGATATTGTTGTTGGTGGTAGTGATTCTGCTGTTCGCATCTTTACTCGCAGCGATGAACGTATGGCTGTTGCTGAGAAGCAAAAAGAATTCGATGATTTATTAGCAAGCCAAGCTATACCCTCGTAAGTACACACACACACACACACACACACACACACACACACACACACACACACACACACACATAAAGAATGAGAGACCAGTATCTACAGACATACTCATACAAACCCACAGTAACCAAATTGGTGATGTAGAAAAGGACAAGTTGCCTGGTCCCGAAGCATTGCAATCAGCCGGTAAAAAGGAAGGTCAAGTCATCATGATCAATATGGGCGTTACAGTAGAAGCACATCAGTGGAGTGCTCAGAGTCAAAGCTGGCAAAAGATTGGCGAAGTTGTGGGCAGTAACAAATCAAAAGCAACATTTGAAGGAAAAGAGTATGACTATGTATTTGATATTGATGTCGGTGCTGGTCCCAACGGCAACCTCAAACTTCCATACAACGTATCTGGTAAATACTGCTGTTTAGCCATTGAAGTTTATGTACTCACACATTTTTCCAGAAAACCCCTATGATGCTGCCCAGAAATTTCTGTTGAAATATCAACTCGATCAATCCTTTTTGGATCAGGTAGCTGATTTCATCATCAAGAATGCTGAAGGCGTCAACTTGGGTGGTGGATACCAAGACCCATTTACTGGTGGAAGTAGATACACCCCTCAATCGAGTCAACCTACTATCGGTCAAGCATACATGGACCCTTTCACTGGTGGTGGATCTTATCGTCCTGGTGCTACGAACGCTGCATCTGGACCCGGTGCTGCTACTTATTCGGATCCTTTCACTGGCGGCGGTTCCTACCGACCTGCTGGCAGTGCTCCTGTTGCTCCACCAGCAGCAGCAGCAGCATCACCATCATTGCAACAAGCCAAAGTGTTGCCTATTGTAAGTACCCCCCCCCCACTTGATAAGCAGCATGCTATTGTATATTGACTTGTTGTCTAGAAATCCTACTTGACACTGAAACAAGCAAACGCTGAAGCCGTTGTCAACAAAATCCGCTCCCTCAACGCTGACATTGCTAGCGAGATCCAACTTTCAAGTGAAGAACTAGACGCCTTGAACGCTTCAGCTTTATATCTCAAGAACCCTGCCGCTTCAAGGGTGAGTGCAAATGGAGGCGACGCTGGACTGCTGGCTATCGTCAAGATGGCAACACACTGGCCTCAAGACAAACGATTCCCTGCACTGGATTTGATACGTTTGTTTGCACTCTATGCACCTGAGGATTTGGCCTCCGCTGTACCTGAAAGAAATGTGCCTGCTTTCTTGATGAAATCAGGTGGTTTGTCTGTGGACGAGAGTGTACCCTTCAACGAAACCAATGCCATGTTGGCTTATCGTGGCCTAGCCAATCTCTTCAACCAAGAAACAGGCCGTCAATTGATCTGGGAAAGACGAAACATTGTAGCTGATATGATGTCGGTAGATGTCTCTGGCAAATTCAGGGGCAAGAACGCTCGTTTAGCGCAAAGTACATTGGCTGTCAACTTTGCCGTCTTACTTGCTAGTAAGAATGAAGGTGAAACCGAACTTGGATTTACTGGCACTTTAATGGAGTTATTAAAGGATGAGCAGGATGATGAGAATTTGTATAGATTTGTCATGGCTTTTGGCACGTTGGTAAGTTCTTCTTGTAGCTTTCAAGCTAAGCATTGTATACTGATGATGGACATAGATTTCCCAGTCGAGTGCTTGTCGTGAAGTGGGGAATATCATGGAAGCCAAGACTGAAATTAGACGTATTCAATCACAAAAGGCTGGACAGGAACGTATGCAGAAGGCCACTGCTGAAATCCTTCAGATCTTGGCGTGAGATTAACTCATACTCTTTGAATAATATCCCTTTATTCCTGCGTTTAGTCGAGATAGTTTTAAACAACTTTTTTTTTTATTACAATTTTGATATACGAGATGAACGATGGCTTTATTGCTAAAATTGCAGGGAATAAAACTTTGGGTAACTTTGTATGTGTATATCATACCTACTGCGTTCTTTAATTAGAATTGGCCTGGCCAACACCCCTCATCATGAAGTAATATAAAGTGGGATCCAGAGGCTTAGCAAACACTTGTGGCGAGGGTGCAATTTTGAGATTACTGATACTAGTGTTGCTTAGACGTAATTTGTGAGTCTCCTTTAGGTGCTGATCAAATTGGTATTTATCAAAAAAGTCTTTTCGGCAAGCAAAGCAGAAAAAGTGATCTTTATCTGCATTTTCTCTATCCAAGGCCTTGTTGCTCTGGTTATGATCGTTTTCGACTTCCTGCAGGCGTTTGTAATATTTCGTCGCAGACATACCATGAAAGTAGCGTAAATGCCCCTTGTAACTCTTGTCAGTTTCGAATGTTTTGAGACACTTGCTACAATGAAGGCTGGGTTCATCCCACATGGGTGTAGGGCGCTTCTCCATCAGTTGTATTTCTTGTTCCCACTGTGCCACCTTTTTGAGATGCTCGCTGTATTTCCTCTCATTGGTAAATGTGTTGCGACAGTGATGACACTTGATATCAACCATTTTTGGAAACCCATTCATCCGATGTACCTTGCTCATATGTTTTCGATAGGTGAATAAATCTGGATTTTTCAAGTTGCATACGTAGCAGAAGAAATTGGGGTCGTTTGGATCTGGTAAAGGGATAGAATGCGCAGTTTTACAATGGTTTCTGTATACATGTTTACTTGAGAACGTCTTCTTACAACACTTGCAATAGTTATGAGGGTCTAGTAGATCAGGATAAAGGGCAACAAAATTTCTTTGCATTGCTGATTGAGGAGCTATGGCTGGACTGGATGCTTCAGCTGGTGAGAGACTTTGCGTGGGTGATCTTGATGGACTGGTAGAAACAGAACTATTTAACAGGCCGTCCTCAAGAAGGAATTTCACAGCAAAAGCATCGCTATCATTCTGGGTTGTGCTAGATGATGTTGCGCTTTTGGCTTGAGCCTTCTTGGATGTAGGTGAATCGTTCTTCTTGATGTTGCTAGCTGGAGTTGCTTTCTTGTTCTTTTGTACAGCGTTGGGTGCTGTTGGCGTGGCAGAGTTTTGATCGCTGCTAGGAGCTGTGAAGGAAGATGTAGCGTCGGGGCTCTTGCTGCTAGCAGTTGCTGGCAATACTTTGTTATTGAGGTTTTCGTGAACAGTAGGGACTTTTGAACTTGTGGGTATTGGAGCTACTTTTGCGGATGAACATTGGATTTTGTGCATTTTTTGCAGATGCGAAATGAATGTTGCTCGACTCTTATACTTTCTATCGCACATTTGACAAACGTCGTCGACATTGTCGAGATCTGGCTGCAAATGAAGGTATTTTGCGGTTTTGGGGATAGTGATGTTGTGAGCTGCGGCATAATGTAATATTAATTCAGAAAACGTGGTAGGCGGAAATACACACAAGTGACATTGACGTGTATGAACTAATTAAATAGGTAAGCTTATAATGTATCTGAAGGTGATATTCAAACAACTATACTCAGTAAATTGGCAGGCTCTGTTGTATTAGCTTCCTGGGCTGGACTTGGTATTGGCTTAGGTGCTTGTTGTGTTTTCGTGTGCGGTGCTGTTGTTGGTTTATCTTTACTAAGACTGGATGTGGTTACTTGTTCGAACTTATCATTCTCTCTCCGGCGATCACTAGCTGCCTGTGGCGCGGCGACACTTTGTGTAAAATCGCCCTTGTTGGTTTTGTATGCAGCTTCAGTCTGCTGCTCTCCTTTGTCTTTCAGCCCTTTAATATCGCTGCATGCAGCCTCAATCTCATCAGAGCCTTCAGCGCCCACTTCTTCTTTATCACCGACGCGACAGTTCAGATTCTTGTTTAGTGAAGGTTCTGCTTGGCTGTCGCGATGATGGGTTGTCGAATTCGCCTTGTCCAGAGGGTCGTTTGCTGATATGATGTGTGTCAAAGTCTCAGTGTTGCCACTTGTATCCAGCATTCTCATCTTTTTGATCTTTTGGCCATCATCTGGTTCGTCAAAGCAAAAGTCGAGTGACAACGTTCGTCTCTCAACGATTACCAGAGAACGTTTAGACGGGTGTGATTTTTTCATTGTTCGAGACAAAGTAAAAAGTAAATTAATGCTTTCAAAGAGATGAAAACTTTCATTTCAGCTTCCACCACAAGCCACAGTACCTGTATTGTTTTTGACATCTGAGGGCTTAAAGACTCGTAGCATAGCAATAAAAGCAAAATGTCGTAAAGAGACTCTAATAATGGCCATTGAGAATGTATAATGCTTTATTTCAACCCTTTCAGTTTTCATTGCGTTGTCTGCCTGTTTAAATACGATAAATGCTTCCCTGAATATGAGGTACTTGTGTTGAACTAACCTTATGAAAGGTGCGGTCAGACAAACAATATAGTATCATATTATTATACAGTATAACAGTTGTTGCCAATGGTCGTTAATATCAAGCCAATCAACATCTACGCCATTCTCTGGTTCCTGCTGAAGCTTTGTTCGGCTTCATTAAGCCTTACATTTTGGAGTATACATATCTTCAGTGCTTATAAATGCCACGCTGTAGATTATCTCGCAAAATAAGAGTTTCCAGCATCAAGTTATTAGCCAGATATACGTTCTTTAAGATAGTTCTACTATATATTTAGCTTCAGTGGGGTATTATTATCTACTAAAAGTTCGGTACTGCCTGCACAAATGATTTTGGTTTCCAACTTTTGGACAATCATTTAAGTTAAGTTATGGAATATCAATGCTGCTGCTTTATAAGAGGGCTTTATCGTAACGAAGCAAACGTGCAAAACCATAGTAATCAAGCAGTAAATTTGGGTACTCATTTTCATTATTAATATGCTTACCAACAACATAATTCATCGAAATTTGCATGAATTAGCTTTACCAAAATCAATATGCCTTCTATTCGAATTAGAAATTGCACGGGCTGCAGAACTGCCCTTCCAGAAGATTTCGGCTACCAAAGATGTGCTTCATGCCGTGCAAATAAAAGCTATAAAACAATACATAACCAAGTTCGACAGCTTTCAAGCCTTCGTATCTTGACATATAGATCTTCCTGGGCCGCCGGAATGACGCCAAACAGTTGTACTCAAGTAGCAGCAACTTTCTGACACCTTTGTTCAACTTTTTGAGGACCAAAAAAATGGTCAAAAATTGACCAAAAAGCATGAGGGGTACCTCATGCTTTTCATCGAAAATCAAACGATTGCATTTTTCACCTTGAAAATGAAGACTTTTGCTATGGTACATATTAAATCAAAATGTTTCTCTCGATCCAAAGCAACCTCTGAAACCAATTTTACAAGGTCTTCATATGCCAAATTTCAACATTTTGGCCAAAAACCTTATTTCATATTTTCTCAAATTGCTCAATAAGTTCATTCAAAACATCTATTTTACTTGGCACCATTGGAAGCGCCTTGAAAAAGACTTCAAGAATGTATTAGGAAGCATCAGATGATAACCACAGTTTATATAGTCGAATCTCATAAAATAATTTAAAGAAGTCGATAAAAGACAGAATTTGGCCAATCTTAAACAGAAAAGATAGACTGAGTTTGAATCTATTTTGGCGGCGGCGCTGCTGCTGACTGACCCAAAATGCCTTTTTGATGAAGACAATGATGATGCAAGGATGATTGCGATGCTGATTAAATAAGGATTATAAATTTGAAACGACAACCTCTTGGCTTGAATTCTTTTTCTTTGGTTTTATTGGGAGTTTTTTCCTATAATGGCGTCTTTTGCAATGACAATCTATCAAAAAAGTCGCTGTAGATCTCATAGAAGTCCTGTATATGTGGCACGAACAGAGAATATGGTATACAAATGCTGCATAAAACTTGAACTCTCTTTCACAATGTTTCAATAATAGTTTCCGTTGATACCAGTGTATAAGCAAAGGGAAGAAGATGCAGGGAGAAATACGTTGCCCTTTTTGACTGATATAATAGCTTTTTTTTTTTTTTTTTTTTTTGCTATCAACTGATTATTTAAAATCTACTTCAATAGCAGATTCTTATTGCCTCTGATTTGAAATGTCTTCAGCGAGAACCCACAGGGCGGCGCCGTCATCGAGCATAGCGAGACTGATCTGCTAGTATTTAGTACACTATATTTATATTTGTTTAAGTCGTTTTTTTCTTGGTAAATATGTAACGCAATGCGAGTATAACTTTGGTAGGCTTTAAAAGCTTGCAAAAGCATGCTCATGATGGATGAAAATAAACACACAAGTGCAGTCAATTTGCTTGATGAAGAGAAGGCGATAGACAGTAAATCCGATCTGCAACCAAGCACATTTAACATTTGGTTGCCAAAATCTCATGATTCAATGTGATTTGTACTCGAACCAAGCGGTTTCTTGCATTTTGAGATCTAGTTTAGAAATGATACATCAGATAACATGACAATATATAAAAACGAGCAAATGTATAATTATTCTTGATACGTCGCTATTAAAAAGACATATCTTTGAAAGTATCTATCAAACGACTTTATTGTCGTTTGATGTTTATCCTATCTACTATGATCGAACTCGCTATTATAAACAAACTGGTATATATTTCAACTTTATTACAGTCATACTTTGATTATATCCACATTTGCATTAACAATGTGGCGCTTGACCGTAATGAGCAGCATTCACATTTTGCAGAAACATCGGTTGTGGTGAACAATAAGGTGGAGGCATACAAACGTATTGTAGAGCTGGTTCTTCCTTTTGCTCCTCTTTTTCTGGTGCTGGTTCCTCTGGACAATCGATATCAAACTCTATCTCCAAGCACATAATACAGTAATAGTATTGCCAGCCAAACGAAATCAATGTACTAACAGAGACAAACGCTAGCATCACATAGATAGGTGTGCTCATCAAGTAGACGTTATGATGCTTTGGATTACCATCGAAAATGAGAAGCCATGGGTTGATGAAACCAGTATGAGCAAAGAAATCCAAGCCAAAATAAAAGAGATATGAACCCATCAAACCTGTTGTAAAGAGTACCGTGTAGCTCCTCACAAAGAAGAGAAGAATAGGGCCTAGCAAGGATAGCCCAATAATGAAACAAACACGAGCGACTTTCTGTTATACAAGAAATGAGAATGTTAGTACAACTTGATATGAAACTTGCAGACTGAACCTACAATGATGATGACCAAGTCTTCCTTCCAAGATAAAAAGTACACGGCAAGATAAAAGCCACCAAGACCTAAAGTGAAAGCAATGAGTACATGCGCCCCCATTATCCCAATTTAATACTTACATGCAAGACAATAGACTCCAATAGGCCAAAGAAATATCAAGATGATAGCTCCCAGTATGCCTAATCCAGCGCTGACACAAATGTAGATCAGATCACCTAGAGGATAACCGCCTGCGGGTTCGCTATTAACAAGGCCAATCCAAGTCATGGTAGCTAAGCAAAATCAGTTATTGGATGCTCGCCTGAAAAGGTTTCTGATAGACTTTACCAAAGAATACAAATCCAATCAGACCCAATGTAGGGCGGAAAAAACGGAATCCAAGAATTTGCAAGTATAAGCCAGCGATAATACACACAATGCCAGCGAAGCCTTGAGCTGGACTAATACTATCACCATATGTATCTGTATCACTTATGTCAGTATGCAAATGAAATGGCTCATATACTAGGCTACTTACGCCAAAGGTAATCAGACCAGCATTGACCAGTACAGGACTTTTTGCCGCCTTTGGATGAATTGGATGATGGCTTGGAAGTTGATGTGGATTGACTGACCGTTGTTGTTCTAGTTACAGTCATAGCATGGCCACCACCACAGTTTACTGTTTCTGTAACTGTCTTCCAAAGGTTATTGAGGGACAAGTTGTCGACAGCAGTAGTAGCAGCAGCCTCTTGATCCGAAACAGTGGCAGCAATCAATGCATTGTTATTGTTGGCTCCATTACGGCACATGCTTGCCCAATTTTGATATAAATCCAAGTCATTTATTTGCTCCTCATCCAAATCGTCTCTTTTTGAGAGTATAGCAGCATGTGTTGGGACGCCAGTTGAAGTAGATCTTGCTTGCAGATCAAAGACAGTCTTTGTTGGCAGTGTATTGCATGCAACCAATTGTAATGTAGCAAGCAGCAGTAATAATGAGGTTTTAGCAATGATATTCATTGTTCAGGAAGAAAGCAACGGAATAAAGAAAAGCGAAAATAGATGTCTAGTGTTGTTTTCATTCTTTTCTACACTGCAAAAGCATGTTTAAATATATATAAATGTTTTTATTCTTGGTCGTTTTGAGCATTTGGTGATCAGGTCTAGAAAATTGCCATTTATAGGCCGATGTTTTCGACCTTTTTGGCACCAAGGCCACCTCCCTTCTTCTTTTCGCGCAACTCAGCCATACGCTAATGTCAAAATGCAGTGTTAGCATTGATAAAGGCCGTTTCAAAATACTATTCGGTACCTGTCTTCTTTCTTCTCTCCTGCGTTCAAGTTCAGCTTTGCGTTCATCTTTATTTACACCATGAGATGATGGTATCGAGGAGGATGTTGTATGTTTGGTTTCGGACGCAATCTGTGTAACAAATGAATCCACACTGCTCATGTTATCATCTAAATCAAGATCTGCCAGCATGGTTTTTTTTTTTTTTTTTTTTTTTTTTTTAGTTCGAAAAGCATTCTAATTAGCCAAGATGAAGCTTACCGAGTGTCTTGCTTTTGTGTCCCAATTTCATGGAGCCTTGTGCTTTGGGTTTTTGTGTGTTTCCACCAAATGAAGAAGGATATGAGCCAAATGAGGAAACAGGCGATGCGATTGATTTTTGCAGTGGTGGAGGAGAGAATGCGGCAGAAGATGGCTGATCGAATGAGTCCCATGCGTTATCCTCCTCCTCATTATTCTCGCCATCATTGTCTACAGGTTGATTAAAGTCAAACGGATCGCATTCCTCTTGATCCCAACCATGTGTATCCTCTGCATCGTCTGCCTCAATCAATGTGTGGTGATGGCTGCTGCTGCTGTAGCTGTTGTTGACACCCAATTGCATTCCTGGTGTCTTTTTGACTGTGTTGCTGGTATCGTTCTCAATCACAGCTGCTGATCCTTGTGGGCTGATGGGGTTGCCAATCTCTCCACTTGGTGATGAAAACTAAGGAACAGCGTTAGACCAGTATTCATCCAGAAACACCTATCTACACTTACTCTTGACTGAAGCGATGATACAGCCCAACCTGCGAGACCTTTTGTGGCACCACCAAGTACGCCTGCCATGCCTGCGCCTTGATTGGCGGCAGCAATTGCATTTTCTTCGCTGGTTGGTGTGTTTACTCGTTCGACAATGGCAGTGTCAGGCATCCTCTCTGCGAATTCTTGCACTTTGGTCACGAATGAATTCATCACCTTGAAAGCTTGGTCACGCACAGGTCTGGTACGAAGAAAATACATCAGGATTCGATCATGTACGACAGACCCAGATCAACTTACTTTTCCTTGTCAATCAACATGACGGATACAGCTGGTAGAATCTTTGTTGCGCACTCCTGGGTATCGTAGTACTCGATTGTAGCTAATGATGGCATCAGCTTTCCAGTCCATTTCCAACGCAATCTCACGCCAAAACTTACCGTTCAGCGCCATTAGTGCTGCTATTCTTGCATGATGAAATCCGTCTCTGAGACTTCTTGTAAAACCACTCACCAGCACCTTCTTTCTTGTCTATTGAATACAGCGTGAGCGTTATAAAAGCAAATCATTGTGCTCTGTACATACACTATCGCTAAGATATTTGGCTATTTTTCCCAAGCAAATCACTGTGTTTGTTCTGATTCCTGGCTCTGGATCCATTTGAAGTTTGGCGAGGTATTTCAACAGCTCGTAATTTATGATTCTCTCGCTCAGCTTGGGCACAATGAGGAGAATAGACTTAATAGTTTGCTCTCGAATGATGGGAATTGTGTCTGTGAATCCAGTTGCCTATTTGCGTTCGATATCAGTCTAAATACAAATGCAAACGGACGCACCCACTTACGATATGAGGGAACACTTGGTTCGTTATCATTTTGTTTGTCATATGGTCGATGAACTTAGGCATGTTCTCTAACAGACTGACACGTATAGCACGATCAGGCGAGGCAAACATGCGGATGATAGGCTGTATCACTACACTCTCATATTCCTCGTCTGATAAATGCTCCCCTACTTTGACAATAGCACTCAATGCCTTGGCTCCTCCTGACCCAAACTCGAATGCTTTGATCAATTCAGGCAGAATCTTGTACTTGGAGAATTCGCTGGGGAATGTATCAATGGTCGAATCCAACTGTCTAAAGAATCCTTCCTTCTCTCCTTGCTCCTTGATACTGATATTCTCCAAAAAGAGATTCACCTTGACAAAATCGCTGGAGAAGAAGCCTCTCGGCTTCAATCCTTCGTCTAAAAACATGTCTGCGCTGGCTCTCGCTCTGAAGGATGGGTTGAGAAGCATGGTGTAGATGCGTTGCATGTTGCCGGGAATACTGCCTTTTTGTGTTGAGAGTGAATCGGTTGTTTCGAATCGATGATTGTAAGCTTCGTAGATTAGACAACCCAAGTGATAGGAATCCACTGCACCATTGGGCAGATCTTTGATTGCTGTCCATCCTGACTTTTTGACTTCGGGAGTTGCATATCGTTGTGCGTCAGGGACAATGCCTCCAAACGTCTATTGGCAGAGTTAGAGACGTATAGTGAAATAAAGCTGATGCAGTATTTACCAAAATGATAGGGCTTTCCTCTTTCATAGAGCACAGTAATTCAAATCCTCCCAGCTTCCACTCACCTGCTTTGTTGGTGAAAATTGAAGCGACTCTAACATTTCCATGCACCAAATCACAATCACTGTTCAAGAATTTGATGGCATTCTAATATTCAGAAATGAGTTGGTATGCTATTGTACATGGGTGAATCCTGGATACATTACTGCCACTTTGTAAAGACCCCACAACACCAGATTTTTATCTGGATCTTGGTTCAGTTGATTGGAGAGAGGTTCAACGGGATCAGTGACAAACATGATACTCTGCTCTGTCTAGTAAAAAATGCGCTTTGAGCATGCATCACTCAATTCTCTGTGCTGATTCACTTACTTCAATGCCGTCCAGGTAACGCAACACATCAGGGTGTCTCATTGTGCGAATACGCTTGAATGCATTTCTTGCCAGCTGTGCTTTGTCCCTATTCTTTTGGCAGTCGAATACAAATATCGACACTTCAGAGCCATCTTCCTGTGTGTCATGTCTGGCATTAGCAATGTAGAGTGCGCAACAGTTGCATGCTCACCTTTTTGGTGCCGTGGTGAAGGCTCCAAATAGACTGATCAGAGTAAAATCCGACTTTGTCGCCTATGCTATAACCGAATCCCGAATTGTCTTTGCCCAGAAGGTGCAAACTGCTCTTGACTATGCCTGAAAAGAATGCCATGAATCAAGGTGCTTATTTATGAAGGACGAGAACAGATAAAAACGAATGAATTTTTTAAAAAAAAAAAAGGGCTTTGCTGGTAAATGTGTAACTTGTTTTTCGAGTGGGTTTGAATGACCGTTTGGTCGTCATGTTTGCTTTCCCATAGGCGAACTGGTTGCAGGATTTCTTTGTGAGTTGGATGTGTAGCTGTCTTGGTATTTGCTAGACCAAAGGTGTCTCGGCTTGCTCTGTACCTATCTCTCGGCTTCTACTACTGTATCGACTGCCAACAGGTGGGCGCTCAAATCTGGGACATGATACTTTATGGATAGAGAATGGATTTTATTCATTAATTCAACATGTATATGTAATTTATATCTGCGCATGTTGCTATGTAGATAATTGTGCTGTAGTAAAAATAAATAAGAAAGAGGGCGAAAATTACAAGTTAAAATAAAGAAACAAATGTTACAGATGACGATGTGGCTATAGAGAAAGGGGAGGAAAGAGCATAATAGAAACGGAAGATGCGGCCAGAGTATACGTTGATGTAAGTTGTGTATATGTTTTCAGTGTTTGAATGCTTCAACCAGATGCACTGCTGTCGGTGGTAGGATATGTGGTAATTTCGTGGTTTCGCAAAACCTTATCCACCAGGAAAGCCACGCGCTGGCCGTATTTTGATCCACGGAGAGATACCATATGGCGCTTGATTAATCGACAAATAAACACCTTTTGATCTTCACATGCATTGTTAATTAACCATTGGACTACATAGTTGCCATATTGATCGGATGCAATGTCAATCAGAGCCATTCGGGGACGACAGCTGGCATTGTTTCTAGAGATGAACTGGATAAACTTCTTCATGAATTGCTGGCCGCCAATACGGAGTGCTCGTTCAACCACTTTGGAGGCAAATTGATCCATGGAAAGCTGGACACTCTCATTAATGACGGACTGAAAGGCCTTTTCGCGGTCGTCGTTCTTTTCAGCATGCTCCAGTACGTGCTGTACGACCCAGTTGCCCCACTGACCTTTGGCAATAGGCACAATGTTGTTGAGCACTTCATTCAGGATAGGACGCTATATTTTTAGAGCGTGAATTAGTCTGTGAACATCTGCAGGGAGGGGCAACTTACCTTGTCGCTTTCTGTCATGTTTTCAAATATGTTTTGAATAACTAAACTGCCTGTTTCGTCCAATGCGACTCTATCCCATTGATGTTCCAGTGCTTGGTGAATGCGTTTCATGATGGGAGGGGGAGAGTGCTGCCACCTTATCTCGAAAACCTTTTGCCACACATGACAAGCATACTTGTGTGTAATTGTTTCAGGAATACGCACAAGTAATTCGGACACGAGACTAGCCTTTGACGTCTCATCAACACAGTCTAACGCCCGTTGTACCACATGGCAGCCAAATGGTTCACATGTCAATTCCAAGATATGACCTTTCATCTTTTGAACTAATGCCTCGATTTGTTCAGGTGTGCCAAGCTCAAGCTGCCGTTGGATAAGGAAATTCCCGAATCGGTTGGTCATGAGCTCGTATGCCTGCTCTAGTGTCGCCTTGAAGATGAGCTGTTTTTGTTCTGTGGTGGCGCATTTGAGCTTCTGTTGCATGAAAATAGATGCTTGCTGGTCTGTTTCCTTTATGATGCGATCCACGAGCAACTAAGAGATATATGTGAGCTACTGACAAGGCATCTGCTGTGATGGACACTTACGCTCCAGTCGATATTCACATTCTTGTCGAGCATGCGACGATATTCAGCTGTATTTGGGTTAATTTTTCTCTCGGATGCGGCCAAGGCGGATGTGGTATGATTAGAGACAGAGCTCAATGAAGACGAGCAAGACTTCTAAGGCAAAATGATAAGTTCCAAAGGCAAATACATTAGAAATCAAGGACTCACCTCCAACAAGCAGTTTGACATGTCAGCTTCAATCAAAACAGCACGTCTTGCAGTGTGAATGTCTTCAGCCGAGTCGCATAGCCTACAAAACATGAGTCAACTAGGCCAGAAAATGGCTTTTACATTCGCAATGTACCTGGCATCGGAATATTCTTCATTCAAACATGACAGATCAAACCCCCTTGACTTTAAAAACGATTGATACAGAGCCAATTGGCACATCTTTTCGTTCAGTTTCTTTGACATGAGTTCTTCTTGATCTTTGTATTCTAGATCTTTGTTTGCCAGTGTTGTTTGCATGTTGAAAATTGTCACACGTTGCTAAATAACCAGCAATATAAACAATAAACACACAGTAATTATGTAAACATCTCAAATACTCACTCGTTCAATCTCCAGATTCTTTTGGTTCATCTGTTTGACCAGCGTCTGAATTGCTTCATTGGCTTCCATCAGTTGATTTCGAATGTTTAAATCGTCAAACGTAGGCTGAAAAAACTGTTCATTCTAATAGGAACAAGAATATTAGACTTGCTGTTGCTAAAACAAGGGGTTATCCGGTTACCTTTCTCTGATGCTGTGGGTGATACAAGAAGGGAGGTTCCATTTTGAAAGGATCATCTCTTGCTGTGTTTGTGTTTGCGGTTGTTGTGGTCGCTGCTGCTGTTGTTGCCAATGACTCGATTCTTGGAGAAGGCGTTTGAGTACCTGAGGATTCGACATCTGCCATGATGCTGTAGAATTCAGGCGAGAACTGATTTGCATAATGCAGGCTAGGATGCTGGTTAAAATGACCATGATGACTGAATACATCTGAGCTGCTGTAGAATGTATTGAAAACATCAGTGTTCTTCATCGGCGCATTGGTAACAAACAGTGAAGGCGTATGAAAGGGCGAATCAAACGTCTCAAAGCTAAACTTGTTGTTAAATTTCTGTGGAGCAGTTGTCGTCGATGACGGATCGGTAGCCACTGCCACTGGTTTGGACGTAGTAGCAGATGCTGACAGCATGTCTGTTTATGTTTGTGATGTAGCAAGGAGTATAGAAAAGTGAAAGAAAGAGGAAAGAATCAGTGCAAGACGTTCAGGTCAAAGAAATTCCCGTATGTCTTTTATAGAATGACCTTCAACCAGATTACACACACGAATATTACTGTTTTTTTTTAGCCCCTTAATATTGCTTTTGCTCTTTCCAAATGTTTGTATATTTGCAATAATTAACCGTGCTATTATTGCATCAAAAACGTGCATCTGTTTGAATTGTCGTCTCGAGCGTCAACTCGCAGTTTGTTGCTGTGCCATCTGTCAATGATCGACGATGAAAATTTATTCAAATTCATATTATTTTAATGCGATCAAGTGTGAGTATTCTGATTAGTGAACGCTTTTCTATCCCTTGCGCCTGTATCATCCCCTGATAACAGCAACAGATATATCGGTTTGCATCAATTCATGGTGATGTCGTATGAGCTCATGCTGCTAAATCAACAAACAGCATGATGCGATTTCAAATGGCGCAGCAGCAGTAAATCATTGTTGCAATTGGTAGGTGATCACTTTCTACATGGCATCACCACACTTGCGCTGTTGCCGATCTCTTTAAAGAATTAATTTATGGTGGTTACATGTTGAAATTATTGCATTTTCCAAACAGAAAAGAAAAAATAGACTGCACTGTAAGCCACTTCACACAATAAAGAAAATGTCGGAAAAGGGGGGATACCTGTCAATATCAAAATGTTCTATTCTAGGCTTTTTTGATAGAAAGAATAATAAAAAAAAAGGAACCCCATTTTTTTTTATGTATAAAAAAAAAAGTGTAGGGCAAATGTTTTTGATTGTTGTGAGAGTTGAAATGTACGTTTTAACAAAAAGAGAACAAGGGGAGATGGCGTATATAGATCAAAGAAAAAGAGAGAGAGAGAAAAAGTATATATTATATTTAGTTAGTGGCGGTCAATAATTGCAAACGTTCAGCAACAGAAAGCTGAGTGCGGGTCATGTTGGCGAGGTAAACAACCATTAAGAGATCTTGCAAATGAGAGTTGAACATCTTTTCAAATGATGTGCTGTCAATCTTGGGAACAACTGAGACAGTATCCATAATGTATCTACCAATGGCGTTGTTGGGGGCGACGCTGCCATCCTAATAAAACCACATCAATACCCAGCTCCATCCATCTTTCTACTCTAAAGACTTACAACAACACTGTCAACATATTTGCTGATTCTTTCGAGCATTTCCTGGAGCTTGGTGATGGCAATTTCGAGATGATCCATGTCTGAAATCAAAGGAGCGGAACGAGACTCGTTGGATTTAGCAGATGCGAGCATATCCACTACAAGAGATCAAATACACATATTAGCGCACTGTCCCCTCCTGGTTTTCTCCCATGAATCTTGATAAAACAACACTTACATCCACTTCTTTCAGCATCAAGATATTTGACCTCACAAGGAACAGGCAAGAATAAGCAATCTCCGGGGTTAGTAGAGAAACCGACAGGAGCACTACAACACATCTAGATCAATGACCTGCTTTTAAAAACTTGCCCCAACATCGACTTACCTTGCATAAGCGCGAAGACCCATATCTGTGGTCTTGACAAGAGCATCTATATCAATGGTGACATGAATAGGTTGGAAGGGAGCGACGTCCTCAGCAAAGAAAGAGTGAACAGGTGTACAAGCAGGAGACAAATCAGCGCCAGCAGTATACCAACCCAAAATGATTTCCTCTGGGTTGACTCTTTGATGTAACTCATACATATTGCGGTAGTGTTCCTTGTCCAAAGCAATATTCTCTTCTTCTAATGTGTAAATCAAGGGCATGACATTTCTAATTTCGACTTCACTGCCATCTTGGCTACGAACACCTAGGAGAGCACCAATGACTTTTTGTTGAGAATCATCGCGACGCAAGAAATGATCCAAAACAGAGAACAAAACAACAGGGCTGGTGGTGGTGGTAAATGCACGTTGGTGAGGTGCACTGGACAAGTTGACAGTCAATGTATCTAATTTGTTGGCCATTGTAGAAAGGTTCTGTTGTAGTAGTAGGAAAGAGAAAAGGATTTCAAACGAGAAAAAAAGTTTTATACATTTTGAGGCGATTCAATTATGACTGCGAAAGCCTCTATTCGAGTTGATGGTTTGTTGGTTTGGTTCATCTAGAAGACCTCAAAGTGTTACTTTTAGTCGTGTAAACGAGATATCCGTCATGCAGAACAAACTAGCTCGAGAGAAGAATCAGAAAACCGATGAATTAGGTTATTACTTGCATCAATTAACAGTGAAAAAGAATGAGTTCGTTTGATTTGAATATACGCTTTTGCCATGTTGATGGCAGAAACGAAAAATGGGACATATTAACACTAAGTGCAACTATCACAAATAAATGTATGTGTGTGGAAGCCTCCCTTACTAAGTAGTTGAGCATCTAAAGTGCTGATCTCTGGTAAGCAATGCAACATTAGAGGGCAATCAACGAGGATATGCTCTCGCATGATGGTTATATGTTTAGTACAGTAGATAAAATACGGTGTATAGATAAGACTAGTATGCTGTATTGCTAAAATAATCTACTAATATTCTTGACTATTAGTAAGATTGCTGCTTACAGCAGTCAAAAACTCTGGTACAAGCATATGAAATCCGAGTAGCGAACATTACTCAAAATGCTGGAAGCAGCATGGAAGCTGGAATAACAGACATCTCTTTTCAAGGATTATTAACAACTAAAAGTAGCAGTCCTACTTGGTTCGTAAATACAAACCGTACCTTATATGCAAAATAAAAGCAGTTGCCTGGGTCTTGTCGCATTACCTTCGTGTTCGGCCTTTTTCACTTTGAGCATTTTCCTGTGAAAGATATGCAGTTGGCACTTGTCAATTTTCTAGGTCAAAGCTGGAGGGAAGTGGCCTTGTTTTCAATCAGCCCTGCATACATGAGATAGTGCAAGCAACAATTGTAGTGATTAAATGCTTAATTCAAGATTGCAAGTGATCTCAGTGATGTGATGACATACAACGATAATTATGCCATACCTTACAAGAGCAAAAATGCTTTTTCCTCTATTATCATTTCAATGTTCCTGAGCCTTAAACTTGCTGAACCTTTCGGTACATCTCAATTTCTTAGCATACATAACGCGTAAGGATACTACTCAAGTCATAAAATACCTCGATGAGGCTCTAGAGCAGCTCAGGGATAGGCCTGGTGTGCTAGGATTTTAAATTTGCAATTTAGTGTATGCAGTAGTAGACCATCCAGACTATAAGCATAATATCCCCAGGATTTTCAGTTATTACACTGTAGAAATGAGACATATTGGCTTTTTTTCACAAGATTTGAAGCATATCAAGGAGGCAGACGAATTTGCATTAAGATGTGCTTCTTGGATTTGTGCTTCTTTTCTCAAAAACGTTACTTTGCGTGGTAGCTTTCATCCTTTTTTGTTTTATTTTTCAAAGAGGTTTCTTTGGTTGTTATATATTATTATAGCTACTATATGATGATAGCACCACAACAGCTAATATTATAAAATTAAGCAGGAAAATGCCACCATATCGCTGCTTTGTTTATGTGAGTAATTTTGGTGTTGTGCCAGAAGGGCTAAAAGTATCTATAAAGATTAAGGTATTCTTGATGGGTAGATATGTCTGTGTTGTGCAACAACATGGACAACCTATGATAATTGAAGTGCATCTTAGCTATCTAGATGCTGAGGTTCACCAGATGTGATAAGCGTTGTAAAAGATAAATTGCTAGCTTGGCATCCAGAATTTAGTATAAATAGGGTAACTCTTGTCTTTATCAATAAAACTTTAGTTTTTGCGTCTGATCTTATTCAAATAAAGATTTTTTTTGTTTTTGTGACATCAAACATTTCTTATAAGCTACAATTTATAATCCATTGATTCTTTGTGTTTAACAGCTTTTATTTACAAGATCAAGGTTTTTATATAATTTATTTCGCCAAATATAGCCGACCATGAATTTTAGAGCTCCGCTTTCGGAGTTTTTGCTTAATTTAAAACCCAGATTTTGCCTAGTTGACGATAGCGCAAACCAAATTTGCGTAGCTATCATGGTTACTGAGAAATTGATGATTTTAGAAAATGGTTAATTTTGAATAGATGCTGCTAGTAAGACTTTTTAAATTACTATATGAATGTGGAATGTATGTGTAGTGAGAGTTGTAGAGAATACTTTGGTTAACTAGGAAATGTTTGATGTGGGTTATCGAAGGTGATGCGAATGTGTAATGACGGAAAATGTTCAAAATGACTGATTTTCAAAGGACCATACCGCTAGGCTTTACTAAGTGAACGAGAGCTTCAATCTTAATAATTTCTGTTTCTTTTTCAATTCTTTATGAGATGTTATGGTTATTATAGATAAACAAATAAAAAATTGAATATCCCCTGCTTGTAGCTCATAAAATATATGATTTTGAGCAAATTTATGAAGGGAACGTACATCTGGTACTTAAAACCCTTACATTATAATGGATATAATGTAGAGCTATCGAATGGTCTTTGTTTTGTGCGAATCCAGTGAGTATTTGTCGAGATATGTTAAAAAGAAGGGGTATCATGCAAAATCATGGAATTTTGTTCAAAATCTACGTGTGATAGCAAGCAAAAAATCTGGTGACGATTTTTTGGTCAGGACAAGATTGTCAATATTTCATGATAATTTTATGCCAGAGCTTCAAGCAATAGCTCATTCGATAGGAAATTTTTTGATCTACAATGCTTAGTAATGCTTAACAAAATGTTTTGATGACAGATACTGACTAATCTCTAGAAAACAGTCAAAAATTGCAAAAACAATCGTATCAAATATCAGATGAACAATGTATACCAGAGACTTGAAATAAATACCATTGTATTTTCCTTGAAATTCTCTACAAGTTTCATATAAGTTTGAATAGGTGTTTACTATCAAGAAACGTGTAATGTTAACGTCGATAGATTTCGGAATCCCATGGATCATCATTCAGAATATTAGAAATTGAATCTCCGTTGACCTTCCGCATGTGTACACGACACAAGTCTGCATTTGACCAAGCATTTTAAAAATTGGAGCGTACGAAAAGGGGTGCCATAAGTGGCAGTCATAATCTCAGAGATGTACATGCGCTTACCGTATCTACCAATGATTCCTATTATTTATTCAGGCTACTACATCGCCAATAGCATATAAATGGAAACAATACGAACTTTTCACATTGCTCTGTAGTACTTTACAAAGTGGTTTCTTGTAGTGTAAATAGTAAGAGTGAAATAGAGTGAATGTATAGATAAATAACCGAATTAGTCTCATCTATGGAAATGAGCACCAGGTTCATAGTTATCCAATTAGTAAAAGATGTGGAAATATAGAAAGAGGTGTGTAAATAAAGTGATAAAAGTAGACAAAGTACAATGGATTGATATGATAATGTATACAAAGGATTCAAGGAATCCTATAATTGATAAGTTCAATGAGATATCAAAGATAATGAGCTATAATAGAGCTATACAGAAGATATGGTTTGAGGTAGAAATAAGATAATCTTTTATTGTTTGATATTATTTGAAGATATACATTAATTTGTTCCTGGATTATATGTACTAAATTCTATTTCTATATGATAAAATTTGTAATGAAGGGCTGATCCTTCTGTAGTAATTGATTTTGATAAACTTAGTAAACTTAAAAGCTTGAATAATTTTTAAAGCTAGAAAGCTATATTTGTTGTTGAAAAATGGCAAATGTTGGTATTGATAACGCTACTGCGCTGCTGGAGGATAAAAGATTGAATAATAAATGTGGAGCTGATTCCCATTTGTGTGCTTCCAGTAGGAAAAAGAAATGTTTAAGAGTTTGAATTGACATCTTTTAGAATGAAAAGAAGCTGAGTGTTAACTGATTTGTAATTCTTGAAATAGGGTTCAGAGTATATTCGAATATAGGAAGCATTTAAGAGTTTAATGTCAAATTGTAGTAACAGAAGTAGGATCCAATATAGTAAGCAGAAAGCGTAGTTTATTCGATAGTGTAGGCAATTTACAGTAAAAAGGGAGATTCAGTTACAAAACCAAAGTCGATTTGTAACAATGTATATAAAAGAATAGAATTGAGGTAAAGGACGATCTTTATTGTTTTGCAAACTGGTTTGATATCTATACTAAATTAAAAGGTTACACATAAAGTCTGTGTGTATCAAACAACAATACCAAGTCCTTGCGTAACTCACAAATGGCAGCGTGAGACGTTACACTGTTGATAAAAAGTAAAAAAAAAGAGCCCAACGGGGGGGTCGAACCCCCAACCTTGAGATTAAGAGTCTCACGCTCTACCGATTGAGCTAGCTAGGCATGGATGCTAGAATGGCTCACTTGGTTAGAGCTTCATGCGGAAGCAGTGAGTATGCCGAGAGGTCGTGGGTTCGAATCCCACCTTCGCATCCATATTTTCCGCCTTTCTAACCTGGCATGTTACTCGGTATTTGTGCTTGCACGTTTAGGTGTGCTGCGGTGCGTCTGGCCGGTTTCTACCTTGAGTCCTGTTCGTCTCCCCCGTCTTGCGGCGCGGCCATTGCTATTCCTCCCTCTGTTTCTCCTCTTCTCTGGTGGGTTTTGATGCCGTTTTCATTACTGGTCCCCTCCCTTTTAGCAGCTCCCCTAACCTTTAATTTAAAAACATGCTTTTTCCCGCCGAATCACTGTTAGTCTTGCAACATATGATCATACCGATTCCGCAGTTGACTACATTTGTAAATAAATAAAAAAACCAATATTAAACTGAGCTAGCTAGGCAGGCTTTTCCGTTTTTCATCACTTTTTGCCACCCTCTCCGTAAAAAGTCTCCTTAGAATCTCGAAAAACGCTATTTTCCCAACAATCAGCAACTCAATCAACTCCAAAACTATACCAGTATACTTGCCTTTAGTCTCTGTCTATTGTGTTATAGTTTCAAGTTTATTGAACATCTCCTTCATATTTTTTTGGATCTTCAACAATTTCTAAAAAAATAATCAGCAA